ACACTGGTTAGCTTCTCAAATTTGACAATATCAGGCGTATTTCTAGTAGAACATCGCATGCCTAGTCGATTAAGTCTATTAATCAACAAAAATAAAAAAAAAACTGTGTCATAGACTTTCTGTAGCCGATTTCTCGGCCCCCTTTAAACATAGCTAACACCCCGACATCCTACTTCCCGACGGCTGGAAACCCCTACAAACCAAGCACAGTGTGATGCGGTTGATGATGATGATGATGCCGATGAGATGCAGCAAGCACCACCCGCCACCTCCCGTGCACCGGGCACACGTGGGAACAGAGGTGAAGACTTGATTGATCAGATAATGAGCCATTATCTGATCATTCAGTCAAATTTGGTCAAATCGATGAACGGTGGCATAATCAAATACTTAAACAATCGGATAGACCAGCTCCGGTTCTGGCCAGCTCGGTTTTCCGATGGACCAACGGCGTCATTTACAAGCTGAATGAATAACCATAACACGTCTCCTCTGTGGCTTCTCCCTCTCTATTTCATCCTCCGTCCAGCGAACCGCACGGGAGTGGTGCGCGGCTGCGCCCCGCACCAGTGCGACCGCCCCAACCTCTTCCTGCCCTCGGATGCCACACTCCGCTGCTGCGACACCGACTTGTGCAATCGCCTGTCCATCCTCGACGTTGTGCAGGGCAGCGTCAACCTGGAAGTGGGCTCGCAGGGCTTCTCGTATTCAGACTCCGGCAACTCGGCTCCTAGGACGGCGGCGTTCGGCGGTGGCGGATGGTCGTGGCTGGGGATGTCCGCGTTAATTGGCCTCGCCTCGACCTTCCAAGGAGTCTGAGAATGAAAGTGGTCGGGGCGTGGTGTTGAATGATTTTTAAGTCGAGACGAAACTGAACACGCAACTCTTTCTCTAGTAGCTAGCAACACACCTCGAGGTCGTATGGCTTGGGCTGTTTGGAAAACATCTCAATCTTAGATGATTATATTTTAAAAAGTAATTTTTAGTGATGTCACTGTGCTAAGACTGCCACTTTTAAAATAAATCAAACAAGTCTGTGGGGTCACCTGTAATGCACATGAAAGTCACTTTAAAGTCATGCCTTTAATATAGAAAGTCCAAATTTGTGCCGGGCATCTCAGGACATACAGCCTCTGGGTCTATATCTCGAAGCGATATTTGTTTTGTGGCTTACATCTTTTATGAGATCAACAATTGCTTCAATGGAAACAAAAAAGGAACTTTTATTTCAATGTATAAATTCCCACATAGCTCTGGGATTGCTGCTACCTGATTGATGTCTGCTCCAATAACTCACAGACTTCCAGGTAAATAACGCAGAACACTCAACTCTCGATTGTCCTGGGTAATAGGCAGGAGGGATTTCCCCGATAAAACAAAAACACAGATAATGTAAAACATAAGTAAATTTGGCCATAACGCGTATTTATTCGGGCATTTTTTTATCGGTTTATTTGCCAACGTGTTTGAGTTTACGTGGGTACTGACCCTCGACAAGCAGCTGATAAACCAGCCAGCATAAACATATTTTTTGCAAGCACAGTTAATCTGCAACCCGATAATCAGCCCATGGATGATCGAGTGTTAACTGTAGTTCTGTACCCGTACCAATTTACAGCTATTGCACGAAGACATTTATTATATATTGACACGTTTACATCCAATGCCCTGTGTATACTTAGCTGTTTGCTGCTGGCTAGCTGACTGCTTTCTGCTCTCAGACTGACTTATGGACTTCAATTAAATCAAGGACTTTTGCTGTGCACAGATTTGCCTATACATGCGCACGTAAACCTACATAAACATACATATGAAATACATGGGCATATACAACTCAACAAATTTGTTATTAACACTGCCTTGTAACAGAATAAGCTGACACTGAGTAATTGCCCTTCTGCAGAGGGCAGAGATACCCATATTATAGTCGGAGATAGCACTTTAACCTTTTATTCCCGAAGTTGGGAAAATGTTTTATAAAATAGCCCAATGAACAGTTTTGAATTTACATATAAACTATTTTTTCCATTCATAGGCACTGAGTAGCAAACACACTCTTAAAAAGTCAAACATTTATTCGTACCCCAATAATACATAAAGTCAAGTCTATTTCACATCATTGCCACCTGACCAGGTGTGAATTAGCCTATGCTTTTGCAATTACCAGAGGTGGGACAAAGTCATTGTTATGCAAGTCCAAGTCGAGTCTGAAGTCATCAAATTCATGACTCGAGTCTGACTCGAGTCCAAGTCACATGACTCGAGTCCACACCTCTGGCAATTACCCAAGCTGGCACTTGCGCAACACGTCTTAACACTGCTTTGATAGTTTTTGAAAACCTCACCTATATAATTTACACAAACACCACCAGCATGGAAGACCTGCAGGACACTTGCTGTTGTGTTGCTGACTCAAGAAGGGCTTCAATTCGAGGACTTTAAAAAATGTTGTCCATGAACGCTGCTGTTAGATGACTCTAAGATTTCTCACTGCTTGCTTTTCTCTGGCTGACTCTGGAGCTTTTAGTAAAATTACATATTTACTATTTCAGAGTATAAAATTGAATATGAATGCTTACTCGGGTGGCACTAGTCTGCACTGGTTTAGGAAAAAATAAATAACAATTATTTGTGCGTGTGCACCACTGCCAACGCAGCACCCCAAGTTAATCTGCTTGTTCTATACGAGGCTGAGGCTAAACTGCTATAAAATATAAACGGGTCTAGATTTGACCTAGACTGAGAGTAAACAGAAATGATAACTGGAGCAGTGCTAGTCTAGGCTGGTTGAGAAGCTACTGTGTAGAATAGATATAAAAACAAGGTTGAGAACAAACATGAATGCTGACTAAACCAGATTAGGATTATATTGAGACTAGACCAGCCTGGACTGGGTGCCACGGTGGCGAGATGTTAATTCCCTCGTCTGGTAGACAGGAGGTCGTGGGTTCGATCCCGATCCCGACCCTGACGCCTGTATATTTGGAGTTTGAATGTTCTCCCCCGTGGTCGCATGGATTTTCCTCTGGGTCCTCTGGTTTTCTCTCCACATTTAGAATCAACATCACGCATTTTTAGTATTTGGCTGCTATAAATTTCCATATAAGCCACTTCGTTGAGCTTTTATTTGTGACCAGGACACTTCTGAAAAAGAGCTTTCTAGCTTACCAAGTAAAATAAAAAGGTTTAGTTTAAAAGTTTAGGTTACCTGGTCTAGAGTGGCCTGAGAATGAACATGCCTATAATAAGCTGAGGCTAATATGGCCCAGACAAGGTTGAGGCCGAACTGGTCTAGAATAGGTTTGGAGAAATCGTTTAGACCAGGCCAGGGCTTAATTGGTCCAAACTGGTCTATGTCATCCTGAGTATGAACTGCTCTTGACCAGGCCAATTATAGCTTGGATTAAATCAGTCTTAGGCTATGTAAAATCTGAACTGGTCTGGAATACACTAGGATTAGATGCAATATAGATTCTGAGTGGGTGTCTTTTTACAATTTACTGTTGAGTAAACCTTTGAACTCTTCTGCATGCTCATAAGCTTTAGTTCGAAACGTTGAGTTTGTTGTAGCATTTTAAGACAATTTCAACAAACACTTTGGTAAAAATTTACATCTTGAGGAAACAATGCTCTGCGTTTTTTCTTAAACATTTCACACCCATTCACACAACTATTTGAAACTGTATCGTTGAATTAAACTATGACATATTTATTAATTAAATAATAATACAAACAACCCTACGTGTTTACTTTTTCCAATTAGATTTCTGCCAAAAGTTGTTTTTTTATGTTTTGGAGTCTTGCCATGGAGTAGACCCTGCTAAGGCCCTTCCCCAATGATCTTGGGAAATTAACCACAGGGCTCTCGTATTTGTTGCCCTCCGAGTGTCTTGACACGACGATTATGAACCCAATCAAAGGTGTTAATCGGTTATCCCGAGATGGGCGCTGTGAAATAGTGGCAAGGTAAAACTTTTAACTACTAAAGTTTGATTGTTGTTCTTGACCGGACTATCATTTGCAAAGAGCACAACCCAAATACCACGCGCCGATCCGTGTTACGAATTTCAAACACCCTTTCCCCCTCCCCCACCACGTGATCAACCAACAGCCAATCCCAGCGCGCACGCTTTCGGCGGTGATGACGTCAACGCAACCGCCGCCAACGCCCGAGCGTGACGTCATCGCACAATCCGCGCGCGTCACCGCTGGCGGGCGTGACGGTAAATGACGTCATCGTCACACGGACGTCGCCGTGGCGACGGGGTGGGTGCGTGGCGGCATTCACATGCGACGCAAGGGTGGGGCGGGTGGGGGCGGGAGGGGGGGCGAGTGGTGGCTTCCCTTTAAGGGCCATCCATTGAGTCGGTTCAGTAGCAAAAATCTGTCAAAACTTGACCCCTCACCCCCTCCCTGTACGCACGCTTGACGCACCCCCCCCCCCGAATCCCATAGAACGTCCGATATTTAATCCACGCACAAACGATCTAGGATAGACAAATTATTATCAAGGCTTCACCCCCACACCCACACCCCGTTTCCGATGAGTACATTGACAGTAGAACCCCCCCCCCCATACGCAAGCTACACATCTGGGTTACCCCCCCCACTACCCACCCCCACTACCCACCCCCACTACCCACCCCCACTACCCACCCCCACTACCCCCCCCCACTACCCCCCCCACTACCCCCCCAGACTACCCCCCCCATTACCCCCCCCACTACCCCCCCACTACCCCCCCCACTATCCCCTCCCACTACCCCCCCCCCACTACCCCCCCACTATCCCCCCCCACTACCCCCCCCACTACCCCCCCACTACCCCCCCCCCCACTACCCCCTCCATGCGTCCGCACTGAGTGGATGACACAGAGGCGAGGCAGCGTTAATAATTCCGCGGTGCATTCTCGCTCGGCCAGTCCCGCACCCCTCCTCGCCCCGCCCCTCCCCCCCGCTGCCCCCGCCCCTCCCCCAGTGACGTCAATTAAATTACCCGGAAAAGTAAATTAATTAATGAAAGCGGCGTTCCTCTGAGGCGAGGCGCGGACACGACCAGGACAAGTCCCCCCCCTCTCCTCCCTCTCGCCTCTCTCGTCATTCACAAAGACTTTAGACTCTTCTTTTTTACTCTTTTACCCCCCCCTGCCCCCCTTGCCCCTGCCGCCGACTCTTTCTCTCTCTGTTTTTTTCTGACCGAACGGTGAATCGTTGACGGGACGGGGGCTACTTTTGTTGTTGTTGGGTTATTCGGCGATGGTTCTGATGGTGATGATGGTGGTGGTGGTGGGGCCAGTTTGACATCGACATCCCAGCTTATTCTTCTTCCTCTCCCCTCCCCACCACCACCGAGTCCATGTGTCGAGAGCGAGGCTCTGAATCGTCGTAATTCGCTCTTAAGTTTACTCGGCACTTATCCGTCGATTACTTAATGAAATACCGGTCGGTCATTTGAGTTTTGGGTCACCGAACAAGTCCTTTAATTGGCGCCGCGTCCGACCAGCGCAGCTGCGTAATCGATACGGACTCCGATGAGCTCGTTAGCGTATTGATTCTATCATCGATTGGTAAAACATTGATCGATCTAAAGTTCAGCGCAGACTTTAAAGTTGACGAGGTAGTCCTCTGGGTAGTGGTCACTGGCGCAGTTGAGGTTTGTTCCATTGTGTAAATTGACTTTGCGTAATTATTATTGATTATTAATCGTTAACGTTGAAATGTTCAACTTTGTTTAGCGTCGTCCTGTTCGTGGCGTTGTTACTATGTAACTCGAGTTGTCTTTATTAGACACGGAATCGTCTTTATATATTTTTGTAATCGCGAGGCAACTGAGACTCACCGTCGTCGGTGTGTTTTTTGAAATACGCTTTCAACAAGTTTAAGATGAATTACAATGTAAAGTTTTTTTTGTAGACGTGGTGGGTGAATTATCGCAATAACTGTGATTTTGAGCAGGAGTTTGGAGGCATAATAAACATGGAAAAAGCACAGATTTAACGAATATATTGCAGCACAATTTACTGAATTATAATCTGTGTCATTCATATATTTGTGTGTAGTGTATATAATCTCATCGACTTGGAACTAACACGTTATAACCTACTTTTTACCGCGTTACCAAAAATAGTTTACTTAAACGTAAAGTAAAATTGTGGTAAGAATAAAGCAATAACACAAACTTTCCATTAACTTATTACCAACTCGATATTGAGTTGACCCCAGTACTCATTCAACGTCCTCGCAGACCGGTGTGGAGGGGTAGAGTCCCACGGCGATAGGAACAAGTCCCATAGCGGTGACCTGCTAAGAGCCACAGTGGTGGCCCACGACAGAGACGAGGCCACAACTCGAGGAGCCACTCCGCCTGTCACGAGAAGGACCTCCCCATGGACCCCCCGGCCCATGACCCCTCGCCTCCCCCTCCCACCACTCCCCTCCCGCCGTCCCCCCCGTTCTTCCCCCACGGGAGATCTCTCCTTGATGAGGAGGCCGAGGGCTTCGCCCTGGGTTTCGTCAGGGCCTTGGAGGCCATGCACACGGCAGGCTCTGGGCCGTGCCCGGGACAAGGCTCGGCAGGGCACGGCGCCGGGCACGGGCAGCCCTGCACTGCCCACAGCGGGGGCAGCAATGGCCTCGCGGCAGGACCGGTGGCGATGGGACTGCCCCTGGCCGTCATTGACTTTGACTCCCAGGTGAGAGTTGCGTTGTGGCATGTGGCGTTTCGGCTCTTTCTCCCCCACCACCACCACCATCCTCGCAGATCCACGCCAAGGCTGATGGAGACCCAGAGTCAAAACTCGGGTCTGGGTGGCTCTGGCACTGACATTGCGGACCTCCTGAGCCACCCGGGGGAAAACGGACTCATCGGAGCGTGGGATTGCAGAGGCCGTGTGTCTCCCGTGCTTAGAAGAGCATTTGTGTGGATGCCTGTGTCTCTGTTGACGGTCCCGAGTCGAGCGTGTAAACTCCATGTTCTCACGAGCAGGGGCCCAGTCTCTGTTCCCTCGAAGCGGTGCTGGTACTTCAGTGGGGGTTACCTGATGTGGATCCACAGTCAAACCTGGGGCTGTTGATCTGACCCTGAGAGACGGCCGGGTGGCCCAGTCAATTGGTAATGGCCATATCATGAACACTTCGCTTCGTGGAGGTGCTGGGCTTCTATCTGGGTTCAATGTGACCATGTAGCGAGTTGATTTTCTCCGTCCAGGTGAGTAATGACTGCTCAAACCAAACTCCATGAAGACTTTAGATGAATGCTTGTCTCCGTGACTCCCCAAGTCTTAAGCAGGTATCAAGGTGGAGAGGAAATTACAAGAATTGTCTACGTCACTGTCTTTCCCTTCAACTGTGTCTGCACGACAAAGGAAAATCTCAAAGTTGACTGCATTGTCTCTCTATTTCAGTGTCTCCCTGTGTCTCAGTGTGTCTAGCTATGTCTCTGTCTGGAGAGCATTTCTAAGTGAAGAGTAAGGGGCAGATGAATCATCCGTACCTCGGGGCAAATGAATCATCCGTACCTCACAGTGTCTCTGAATCTCCATGTCCCGGAGTGTCTTCTCAAGTCTACTAACCTCCATGTGTTTCCACGTCTCGGCAGCATCTCAGCGTCGACAGACAGAAACGGAGGAATTGTCACTACCATACGGCATCTCTCTGATAGTCTCTCCCTGTGTCTCAGTGTTTCCTCGTGTCTGTTCATCTCCGTGTGTCTCTCTGTACATCTGTCCATGTCTGATGAGCGTCTCAAAGCATAGAGGATGGGGCAGAGGAATTATCTCTACCTGACAGTTTCTTTATTAATCACATTGCCTGTGTGTCTCCTTGTGTCCGTATTCATCTCCACGTGTCTCTTGTGTCTCCACGTGGCTCTGTGTCTCTATTATCTCCGTGTATCTGTAGTAATCTCCCTGCCACCCATGTGTCTGTGTCTCGGTGTGTATGTCTCAGGAGCGTCTCAAAGCGGAGAGGAAGAGGCAGAGGAACCGGCTGGCCGCATCGCGCTGTCGACACCGGAAGCTGGAGAGGATCTCTCGCCTCGAGGAGAGGGTGCAGGCGCTCAGAGGGGAGAACTCTGCTCTGCAGGTCTTTTACATCCCCTTAGCGGGCCCACAGCCTGCACTTATGTCCACTCAGACTGAAATTACTATTGATTCAACACGTACGTTTGCACACGCATAATGTACGCATAGACGCGTTTTGGCCACCCTTCACCAATCCGCACTGACCAGCGTGGTGAATTGTGGTCAACCATAAACACTGTCGGGGAGAAAGTGCTGTAAGCAAGCACCTGATCGTGCTGATCGTGCATGAGGGGGTTGTGGCCGGCACCATCCGCGGTTGTGTCCGTCTTCCCAGGGCTAATGTTCACATACCACATCAGGTACCCATTTAAGTCTGAGATGACCTAGGGGAAGGAGGCCCGGGACAAGTTCTGATACCACTTGCCACTGGTGTTGTTTGTGGCTGGGAATCGAACTGGGATAGCCCGTTTTTTAGCTTTAGTCCCCTGATCACTGGGAGGCCATTCGCTCCGAGCCAATGCCTCCACTTGGCTGGTTCCACCTTCACCGCAACACTTTTGGGTTTACCCTCAACTTAAAACAAGCAGCGCATTGCACTCTTAAGTGTTTAAGCTATGGATTTTTTTTCTAATTTTACGGTAGATATTGGTTGATTGTTCCTGAAACATTCGATAACGTTATGATATGATATTTGTTTTAATTGGCTCCAACATAGGTGCTTTTCTGTCCTCTGCATTTAGTCCTCTGCCCATTGGCGTTGTCTTTGGCTGCAACTCCCTCCATGCTGTCCAATTTTTTGCTTTCTTCCTCGTTTGACTGTGCGCGCCCCCGCCTCTCCCCCACCACCCCCCTTGCTTCAAGTCATCGAGAAGCATCTCTCTCTGCCTCCTGGCCTCTTTCCCAACGTCCGCCCCTCTAAAACGTCCTTCGTCGAGCCTTCACCTCTGAGATTGTACCCAATCAAAATCGTTTGCCTCGTGTGGATTGTTCAAATTTGACTTCTCACTTCCTGTCCCTGCTCGAGAACTTCCGCATTACTCATTCTCTGTATGCAACATACAACACTCCACTCTACACTCGAACTACACAACACTCCACGCTACACAACCACACTACACCCAACTCCACACTACACTCATACAACACTCCACTCTACACTCGAACTACACAACACTCCACGCTACACAACCACACTACACACAACTCCACGCTTCACTCATACAACACTCCACTCTACACTCGAACTACACAACACTCCACGCTACACTCGAACTACACAACACTCCACGCTACATAACCACACTACACTCAACTCCACGCTTCACTCATACAACACTCCACTCTACACTCGAACTACACAACACTCCACACTACACAACCACACTACACCCAACTCCACACTACACTCATACAACACTCCACTCTACACTCGTACTACACAACACTCCACACTACACAACCACACTACACACAACTCCACGCTTCACTCATACAACACTCCACTCTACACTCGTACTAGACAACACTCCACGCTACACAACCACACTACACCCAACTCCACACTACACTCATACAATACTCCACTCTACACTCGTACTACACAACACTCCACACTACACAACCACACTACACACAACTCCACGCTTCACTCATACAACACTCCACTCTACACTCGTACTAGACAACACTCCACGCTACACAACCACACTACACCCAACTCCACACTACACTCATACAACACTCCACTCTACACTCGTACTACACAACACTCCACACTACACAACCACACTACACACAACTCCACGCTTCACTCATACAACACTCCACTCTACACTCGTACTAGACAACACTCCACGCTACACAACCACACTACACCCAACTCCACACTACACTCATACAACACTCCACTCTACACTCGTACTACACAACACTCCACACTACACAACCACACTACACACAACTCCACGCTTCACTCATACAACACTCCACTCTACACTCGTACTAGACAACACTCCACGCTACACAACCACACTACACCCAACTCCACACTACACTCATACAACACTCCACTCTACACTCGTACTACACAACACTCCACGCTACACAACCACACTACACACAACTCCTCGCTTCACTCAACTCCACGCTTCACTCATACAACATTACACTCATGTGGCTCTGCTCATTTGTCTAGTTGCAGCATTCTTATCTTATATAGATGTTCTAGCGCCTTTATTTAAGGCGCTTCACAACAATTATAAAATTGTACATAATGATGATAGTGGTTTAAATGAAGAGGGAGTGTTATTAAAAGTGATGGTGTAGCTATGGTGATAGGACAGGTGGGGGAGTGGTTAAGGGGGGGGGGGGGTTAGGGTAGTGATAGGGGTTGGAGTAGTGGTAGGGGTTGGGGTAGTAATAGGGGTTGGGGTAGTGATAGGGGTTGGAGTAGTAATAGGGGTTGGGGTCGTGGTTGGGGTAGTGGTAGGGGTAGTGATGATGGGGGTTTGGGAAGTGATATGGATTGGGGTACTGATAGGGGTTGGAGTAGTGATAGGGTTTGGAGTAGTGATAGGGATAGTACTAGGGGTTGGGGTAGTAATAGGGGTTGGGGTAGTAATAGGGGTTGGGGTCGTGGTAGGGGTTGGGGTAGGGGTAGTGATGATAGGGGTTGGGGAAGTGATATGGTTTGGGGTAGTAATAGGGGTTGGGGTCTTGGTTGGGGTAGGGGTAGTGGTAGGGGTAGTGATGATAGGGGTTGGGGAAGTGATATGGATTGGGGTAGTGATAGGGGTTGGGGTAGTGAAAGGGGTAGTGATAAGGGTAGGGGTAGGCCTGGTCGTAGCTAGGGGGCGGGGGCAGGGAGTAGCAGTAGCAGGATGAGCAAGGGAGAAGAGATGGGGGGGTTGTTTTAAGGCATAAGCGCAAGTAGATTGTAGTGAAGACGATTGTTGTGCAGTGAGTGTTTGTTCGAGTGAAGGTGAGCAAGAAGGGGAACATAAACGAAATCGTGATTTGGCGCAAGGCGAAGGAGGCCGAGTGCTGATTTTCCCATGAAAATCCTGACTCTAATCTCCATTACGCATCCAATACATTAGTATTACTACTACTACTATGCTTGCTTACCCAGAAAAGCCTCACCAAGTCTCAAGACTCTCTCTCAGGAGGGTTTTGCTAAGGTTTCAGTCTGGGGCCATCTTCTGTGACAATACTGCCCATATACTCTAATGGACTCACTTTTATTGACTTGATAAGTGTCAATTTATGAGCTGCTTCAACTATACTCTTAGGTTTTTCGGTAAAGTCACGTAAGTAAAAAATAAATAATAAAATTGAAAATATAATAGAAATAAAGTCTCCGTCATCAGGTGGGACTGTCTCAAGACAGTAAATCTGGCTGTGACGGTCCCACCTGATGACGGAGACTTGTGTTGCCTCCGAAACGTCGTGATTTATTTTATTTCTATAATTTTTTCAATTATATTATTTATTTTTTACCTACGTGACTTTACCGAAAAACCTAAAAGTATGAATCCTTGCAGTCACGAAAGCTTCAAATCTAGAATTATACTTACCACCACCTGTGGATCCACCTCCACGGCATTTGACATTGCTGTTGGAAGTGAGGCCAGCACCCCACCTCCGTGCGAGTCAAAGCAAGGTGTGGCCGGCAAAGTGATATCGTTGGCTCTGCCTGATTGGCCTCGTGATCACTTGACTGGAGGAAGGCCTCTTGTCACATGGTGACTCTGTGATTTGGCCTAGCAGTACATTTCACATGTCAGGCAGTGCATTGGCTGGGAACCTGAGAATCCCTGATGAATGTATCTGTATTCAACTTCTTTCCCACCATATGTAGCCAACCGCGTTAAATGGAGGTACTCAATGGCAGCATATATCAATATAAACCAATCCGGTCATCCCAATTGTGGCCGAAACAAGGCTGGCTTAGCTGAGAAAAAAATAAATGGTAGATATAGTTCGATTGTTGGAAAATACTTTTTATTTCTTAAACTGTACAGGGTGTGTAAACCGCAGCCCGGCCACTGAAATGCATTGGAAACATTTTTGATGTGTATCCTCCTACTTCTGATGCAATTGTGTGTGTGTGTTTGTATAATTTGGGGCGCGACAGTGCAGTGGTTAGCGCATAGCGCTACGAGTTTGATTCCCGCTCACAGCCAACATCAACGGATATCTTGACCGGTTCTGGGCCTCCCATAGTTCAACTCTGCCTTAAAAGAGTACCCATTTTCGGTGTGTGAAAGTGGCCAGGCTTGATGTTGGCCACACCACCGTGCCAGCCTCAATAGGTGCTCGCTAACAACCCCTTACCCATCTGTGTAGGCTACGTGGGGTATCTGTGTATAACTTGTGTATATGTGTGCGCGCATATATACAGGCGGCTGCCGGTTCCCTGAGGCGCCAGGTCGCCGGTCTGCGTCGTCGTGTCCTCTCTCACCTGCATGGCGGATGCAGCATCACAGCTCCCCGTGGCACCGGTGGGGGCACGGGAGGAGGGGGCCCTGCCCAAGAGGCCTGCTGAGGGGACTGGGGGGGGGTGCAGACTCCCATCCCTGCTCCACGCACGCGCTTATACACCCACCCGCTTATACACCCACTCCCAACATGCCTCGCGCACTCATTCCCAAAATGTCTCTCGCTTATACACCCATTCCCATAATGCGTCGCTCGTTCCCAAAATGACTTGCTCACTTGTACACCCACTCCCACGATGCCTTGCTCACTCTATCATGCCCCATTCACAGATACACACTCCCACAATGCCTTACTCTCATGACTAATTGCTCATGCACCCACTTCCAAAATGCCTCACTCATTGACCCCACGTGACCTCACTCATTCACTCTCATGTCTCGCTCACTCCGATAATGCTTCACTCTCATACATACATAATGTACACACCCGTACATATGTACATACACACACAAATATGCACTTGCATATGTATATATACACACATATATACAGCCTCATATGCACACACATGTATATACACTTACACACTTTACATATATTCAATTATACATAAGTATACACAATATGTATATATACATGCAAATATATCTACACTGTAAGCTGTAATATTCACGAGTCAAATCTGCATTCGGGAACTGTTAATGCATCCGATACGAAAACCTCACCTCATCCAACACAGAACTCATCCGATGACTACAATGAATTTTCATCAAATTTTTAATACAAAAACTGCTGGCGCATCCGATTCAGAACCCTGATTTCATCCGATGCAGAACCTCTGTCTCATCCAATACAGAACCCTGGTCTTAACCATTACAGAACCCTGGTCTTAATCATTACAGAACACTTTTGTGTAATCTGATACAGAACCCTTGTCTTGTTTGGGTGCCTTTGTCTAAAGTCTAAAGTTTATACACTAAGTATTATAACTGACAAAGATATTGAGAAATGATCCTTTATTAATATGTTAACAAAGTATGTCTTAAGAATATTGCTCAGTTAAATATATATTCTGATTAAAAATAATTTAATCAAAGATTGGTATGTGGACATTGTCATTAAAGTTTTTTAAGTGGTAAATTTTTGCGAATTCTTTTTAATGCTGGGTTCATGTCTGAGACGAAGCCAAACCTTTGATTTTATAACAGCTCTAAAACACAGCTCCACCTCTTAACACTATCACGGCTCCGCATCTACCCCTGAACACAACCTCTGATTTGCTAACCCTTCTGAAACTTTGCACTCTGGTCGGTTTTTTTTGTATTGTTGTAACTTGGACCCGCCCCCTTCTGGATATCTGAAAAAGAGCTTCATAGCTCATCGGATTTCTCCAGGATAAATAAAGATTGATTCTGACAGCCTCGCCTCTAGCCCAGCCTCACCTCTACCCCTAACCCAGCCCCCACCTCTACCCCTACCACTAACACCACCCCACCACTACCACAGCCCCCACCCCTACTACTAACGCCACCCCACCACTACCACAGCCCCCACCTCTACCCCTCACCCAGCCCCCACCTCCACCCCTCACACAGCCCCCACCCACCTCTACCCCTCACACAGCCCCCACCCACCTCTACCCCTCACACAGCCCCCACCCACCTCTACCCCTCACACAGCCCCCACCTCTACCCCTAACCCAGCCCCCACCTCTACCCCTAACCCAGCCCCCACCTCTAACCCAGCCCCCACCTCTCACCCTACCACGACTCCACCACCACCACTGCCCTCACAGTGATGACAGATTCCTCTGCTGCCCGAGGTCGCGTGGGGGAGGGGGGTCTGTGTGCAGCAGGGGGTGCGGGTGGAACGTGAAGTGCTGCGTCCCCTCGGGCCCCCACGGCTTCTTCGGGGCCTCGGCCGCCGAGCGGCCCCCAGGCTCGTCCTAGGACAGAAACAGCCGCGGATCATTTCTAGACGAGGGTCGTCATTTGCGGGATGGTCCGAGAAAAAAAACGTGATGAGCCACAATATCTTCTTGGTTCTTTCGGTAAAGTCACGTAGAATGGAAATAATAAAAATAAAACAAAATAATTCTCAGACTCTGTCTTCTCGACAGACCTGTTCTCCACCTGAGGACGCTGCTTGCGTTGTGGCCAAAACGTGAGAATTATTTTTATGTTTCATTTTTATTATTTTATTATTTCCATTCTACGTGACTTTACCGAAAGAGCCAAGAAGATGAATCCCTGCAGTCACGAAAGCATGTTGTATTGTTAGATAACCAATCGTGGCTCTCCGATTAGTTTTTTGGGTTGCACCGCGCGTTGTTTGGCACGGCCTCCGACGTTTGGCTCCACGCGCCGGGAGTTTCTTCAGCAATGGGGTTATACCAACATTGTGCGGTACAGCCCGAAAATACATTCAGGCTGTTTGTCCACGAGCCCAGAGGAGATATTTCACATGCGGTTACCACCCGAGGTGGCATCACTTTAGCGGTTCCAATGTCTAAATGTGGACAATTACCGTGAATGATGTGATCTTATCAAGCCATTCACTCGTATTAGCCGTGTAAATCGGTACTATTAAAGTTTTTATACCTTCGGTGGAGTGAACAGACTTTTCCTCTGGCCGACGGACTACGATCCTCCACAGTCAGTGACCTCTCAGGGTTTCATCGGTGCATTTAACCACATTTAAAATAAATATGCATTTTCCAACAAAGGTGTAAGGTGCACATGCATTAGTTCCACCTGTTCATATAGAACGCCAAGTAACTTTCGTGAATATGATTAAAAAAAACGAACAAAACTTTTAACGTGAAGTGCTATTACTATTTAGGGACTTCTTACTTTTTTTATATAGAAAAAGCAGAAGATGTCATTATCAGAATGAGCTGTGATATCCTAAATTTGATCTTCATGGAAATAATGTGGTTTTGTTAAGGAGGCATGGATGGGGTCCCCTACCCCTGAGTTTGTCCCGTATTGAGGGCGACACGCCTTATATGTAGACACACATTGTATGTACCAGGGACTGGTCGTGGAAGAACTGTGTATGTGCGAGTACTATGGACTAGTGGGACTGTGTGTGAGTCGGGCGTGAAAGTGTAGTACCCTGCGCTACGAACCTGGCGACCCAAATTCAATTCTCGCTCATTGGGAACACCAGTGAGAATTATCTGAACTGGTCCTGGGCCTCCCCTAGGTCGACTTATCCTCAAATAAGTACTGGTGCTTTCGTGACTGCAGGGATTCATCTTCCTGGTTTCTTTCGGTAAAGTCACGTAGAATGGAAATAATAAAATAATACAAATTAAACATAATAAAATAATTCTCACGACGTTTCGGCCACAACGCAAGCAGCTGTCCTCAGGTGAATTCTGTCGAGAAGACAGAGTCTGAATTAGACTGTCTTCTCGACAGAGTCTGAATGCGTGAATATCAGGGGCTGGTAGTGGTAGGATCGTGTGTATGTGTGTGTACGTGTGTGTACCAGGGGCTGGTAGTGGTAGGACTTTGTGTATATATGTGTATGTGTGTGTATGTGTGAGTACCAGGGGCTGGTAGTAGTATAACTTTGTGTATCTGTGTGTATGTGTGTGTACCAGGGGCTGGTAGTGGTAGGAATGTGCGTATCTGTGTGTATGTGTGAGTACCAGGGGCTGGTAGTGGTAGGACTGTGCGTATCTGTGTGTATGTGTGAGTACCAGGGGCTGGTAGTGGTAGGACTGTGTGTATCTGTGTGTATGTGTGAGTACCAGGGGCTGGTAGTGGTAGGACTGTGTATCTGTGTGTATGTGTGTGTACCAGGGGCTGGTAGTGGTAGGACTGTGTGTATCTGTGTGTATGTGTGAGTACCAGGGGCTGGTAGTGGTAGGACTGTGTGTATCTGTGTGTATGTGTGTGTACCAGGGGCTGGTAGTGGTAGGACTGTGTATCTGTGTGTATGTGTGTGTACCAGGGGCTGGTAGTGGTAGGACTGTGTGTATCTGTGTGTATGTGTGTGTACCAGGGGCTGGTAGTGGTAGGACTGTGCGTATCTGTGTGTATGTGTGAGTACCAGGGGCTGGTAGTGGTAGGACTGTGCGTATCTGTGTGTATGTGTGAGTACCAGGGGCTGGTAGTGGTAGGACTGTGTGTATCTGTGTGTATGTGTGAGTACCAGGGGCTGGTAGTGGTAGGACTATGTGTATCTGTGTGTATGTGTGAGTACCAGGGGCTGGTAGTGGTAGGACTGTGTGTATCTGTGTGTATGTGTGAGTACCAGGGGCTGGTAGTGGTAGGACTGTGTGTATCTGTGTATGTGTGTGTACCAGGGGCTGGTAGTGGTAGGACTGTGTATCTGTGTGTATGTGTGTGTACCAGGGGCTGGTAGTGGTAGGACTGTGTGTATCTGTGTGTATGTGTGAGTACCAGGGGCTGGTAGTGGTATGACTTTGTGTATCTGTGTGTATGTGTGTGTACCAGGGGCTGGTAGTGGTAGGACTGTGCGTATCTGTGTGTATGTGTGAGTACCAGGGGCTGGTAGTGGTAGGACTATGTGTATCTGTGTGTATGTGTGAGTACCAGGGGCTGGTAGTGGTAGGACTATGTGTATCTGTGTGTATGTGTGAGTACCAGGGGCTGGTAGTGGTATGACTGTGTGTATGTGTGTGTACCAGGGGCTGGTAGTGATAGGACTTTGTGTATGTGTGTGTATGTGTGAGTACCAGTGGCTGGTAGTGATAGGACTTTGTGTGTATCTGTGTGTATGTGTGTGTATGTTTGTGAGTACCAGGGGCTGGTAGTGGTAGGACTGAGCGTTGCTGGGGTCCACCGGTGCCAGAGACTGCAGCTCAGCGTCGCGCGCGTTCACGAGTCTCAGGAACACCTCTGCCCTGCCCAGCTACACACGCACGCACACACACACAAAGATCCCCCGTGTAGCCTTCGCAGACTGCACCAGGAACTCACTCTTTCATTTAAGGCTGAGTTAACCTAGGAGAGGTCCAATATCTGCTCAAGTATCACTCTCCACTGATGTTAGCCGCAGCCAGGAGTCAAACTTTTTCGAAGCATTGTGCGCCAACCGCTGTACCACCGCTCCCCAAAGGCACGTTTACATCTCGACACGCAACGCAGAAATGGCCCCGATGACATTAACTCACGTGCAGGAGCCAGACGGCATCGCAAGGACACGAGAGGGACAGCGATGGCATGGAGAGGCCTTCGTCCAGCAGTGGATGGACAATGACAATCGATGATTGATGATGACTTAAACTAAACTATTAACTAAACTCTTTATTTTACCAGGTAAGGCCCACTTCGCTATTTAGATCTTTTTCAGAAGCTACCAGTCCACAAATGAGAGCCCAACGAAGTGGCTTATCACGTGGAAATTTAAAGCAACCAAATACTCTAAACGATGTTTCTAGATGTGGAGGGGAAAAACTGGAGGACCCGAAGAAAAATCCACACCACCACAGGGAGAAAGAAAGAGAGACACTGCAAACTCCAAATATACAGCAGGCGTCAGGGTCAGGATCGAACCCTGCATACCAGGCAAGGGAGTTAACATCTCGCCACCGCGGTGCCCACGACAATGACGACACGTGGTGTCTCACCTGCGGCACGGCATTGACCTGCCCCGGAGTGAGGCCCGGCCTCACGGGAGTCAGCCGAAGAGGCACCCTCCAGCGCCCACTCATCAGGCGGTTGTGCCGGTCAAAGAGGTGCACGGGCGCCCATCCCCGCGACACCAACCTCGACCCGGCGGCCCCCGCGCCAGCTCCCCACGGCTGCTGCCCGCCCCCGGCCGAGGCCACCTGCAGCTCAAGCAGCAGCTGGGTGTGCGTGGACGGGGCCAATCTGACTCGGGCAAAGCAAGAGAACGGGACGACGCGGCCAGAGTTACTGCTGCTGCTGCAGCCGTCCTCAGGTGAAGACGGCTGCTTGCGTTGTGGCTGAAACGTCGTGAGAATTATTTAACGTTTTATTTTTATTATTTTATTATTTCCCTTCTACGTGACTTTACCGAAATAACCAAGAAGATGAATCCCTGCAGTCACGAAAGCTTTAAATCGAAATCGTTCGTGTATTGTTGGGTGCCGCACTAAATGCCCCCAGGGGTTGCCAGTGGCCCGCGGGCCTTGCGGTGAAGAACACTGAACTAGATCGTGAACTTCCGGATTTGAAGCTTTCGTGACTGCAAGGATTCATACTCTTAGGTTTGTTCGGTAAAGTCACGTATGTAAAAAATAAAATTAAAGTTAATAAAAGTAATAATTTAAATAAAATAAAATAATAAATCACGACGTTTCGGAGGCAACACAAGTCTCTGTCATCAGGTGGGACCGTCACAACAAGTGATGCAGTAATTTTAGCTGTGACGGTCCCACCTGATGACGGAGACTTGTGTTGCCTCCGAAACGTCGTGATTTATTATTTCATTTTATTTCCATTATTACTTTTATTAACTTTCAATGTTATTTTTTACCTACGTGACTTTACCGAAAAAACCTAAGAGTATAGATCGTGAACCTACTTTTAAATATCATAAGGATGAAGGAATTTCAAAGAGTTCACATAGACATCATCCAGCAGTGGACAGACCACGGCTGACTAAAGGGATGAATGAATGACTGAGCAGGGGGGGGGGGGTGGAGGGGATGCGGGGGGACACCTGTGCACGGGTTGTCTAGTAGCAAGGGTGGCGGTGAGGCCTGCGCTGGGGCCGGGCCAGCCCAAGTGGCACGCGACGGGGGGCAGCGGTGACGGCACCCCCATCTCCTGGCCCTGGTGGTAGAGTCCGACCACCAGGCGAGCCGAGCGTGAGCCGGGGTCCAGACCCGAGATGAAGTCGTAGAAGACGATGAAGCCAGAGCTGAGAGATCATCGGGATGCGCGGGGGGTGGGGGGTGTGAGAGACAGTTGTGGAATAACAGTTCATGATCACATATTTTTGGTATTTTTCCACAATTTTATCTTGATTGTGCTGTCGGTGTCATGTCATGAGATAAATAATCCGTTAAAAACTCTCTGAGAGCAGGAGATAGTTCTAGAAACTTCCCAAGGGGGAGGGGCAGGAGTCCTGAAATGCCAAACTTTCTGACGATGATCCTCTATTAACACAAAGAAACATTCAATGGTAAATATCAACAAAATACCAATGTTCAGGGTCACATTTTGCTTGGTTTCGCCACTGAGCAGAGCAGTGCTATAACCTGTGTTAGAGAACGGTCCGTGGAACTGGACATCACAGAGCCCTTGAAGTGACCTGATTCACACACAAGGGGGCAGCACTTTCCCACCCGCCCTGCTCCAGTTCAACGTTTGTCGAGTGCCAGTCAAACCAATACCCCCCCTACCTTTATATTCTCAGAGCTAAAATTAGACAAATTAAGTGTAGGAGCGAATTCTAATGTGATGGGTTTATTTGTGTGGTCATTGGTGACCGGAAGTGAGAGATGGAAGAAGACACAGGAAGAAGAGAAAGGAGAGGAGAGAGTGAAGACGCAATACAATCAGAATAAAAATATAAGAATGTTTATACCGGAGGAAGCCAATGAGCTATAAAGCTCTTTTTCACAGATGTCCAGTAGGGGTGGGTAAGAACGTTACAACAACAAACACTACGACAGAGAGGGAAAGAGAAAAACAGGAAGCGAGAAACACGAAGAGCCAGAAAACAGGAAGAGACATACGGCATGAGAGATGGGCAATCACCTTCAGTATGGTTTTAGGGTTCAAGGGTTCAAAGGTGGAAGACTCACGAGGGGTCGTATGGCGATGGTCCCATGGCCTCAGCGGGGTCGAGGAAATGGCGAGCGAGGGTCGGAGTTTGAGCTCTGATCCCATCCTGGCACAGGCAGCGGGGAGTGTGGGTGGAGAGGTGACATGTCTCACTAAACCTCACAGTGAGACGGGCGAGTGTGGGTGGAGAGGGGACACGTCTCACTAAACCTCACAGCGAGACAGGCGAGTGTGGGTGGAGAGGTGACATGTCTCACTAAACCTCACAGCGAGACAGGCGAGTGTGGGTGGAGAGGTGACATGTCTCGCTAAACCTCACAGCGAGACAGGCGAGTGTGGGTGGAGAGGTGACATGTCTCACTAAACCTCACAGTGAGACAGGCGAGTGTGGGTGGAGAGGGGACACGTCTCGCAGTGAGACAGACTCAGGTGATTGTGTGTGCGAGTCTGTCTCCTGTTGAGACCTGCACACACACACGCTCACATGTGGAAGTGGTGGAGTTAGCGGTGGCTGCGGCTGCTGCTGATGTTGCATCAGCGACTGATTCCGAGCGCCTGCGCCCGACTGCTGCATCTGCTGTCTCAGCAGATCCATCTCGGCCTCCAGCTCCGCCATCTTCATCATGTGCTCGCGCTGCAGCAGCTGGAGCTCCTTGCTCAGCTCGTCTGTGATGCGAGAAGCCGCATGCCGGGTCAACCCAAACCTCGAGGCGAAACCCAATCTCCTGGAGCCCAGATCCTCCTGGAGCCGAGTTTCAATTGAGACCGATTCTGAGACCTGATCTCTTCGAAGCGAAGGAGGTGGTCAACGTGACTCCCGGTGGATTTATCATGTCTGTCTGAGTAACTGAACTGCAAATTCTTTTGTCAAGGCACTCTTCCCCCTCCAACCCAGCTTAAATATACGCTGCCAAGCCTGGTGGTATTCATTCAGACGCTGTCTTTCCGACAGACCTGTTCTTCACCTGAGGACGGCTGCTTGCGTTGTGGCCGAAACGTCGTGAGAATTATTTTAGGATGTTTTATTTTTATTATTTTATTATTTCCCTTCTACGTGACTTTACCGAAAGAACCAAGAAGATGAATCCCTGCAGTCACGAAAGCTTTAAATCGAAATTGAACTGGCACCGTTGAGATTCTGGGTTCTATTCAGCATTTAAGCCACCTGTGATTAAACTGGGATCTCAAGTGTAGTACGAGCCGACGGTCTCAAAGCAATCATCAATGACTGCAAATTCCAGCTTTAAGAACCAAATTCGTTCATTGGCCATGAGAAGAACACACGTGCAGGAGGAATTTAATGGAATTCAAAAATGGTTCTGTGATGTCACCTTCAACAGCCCGTTGTCTGATACAATGTGGGGTGCACCACTCATTGTGTTTATCCCACTGTCAAGAGTTCACAATGGGAATGTCTTGCTCTCGTGACGACGTGAAGCTGATAGCAGTACAAGAAGAGGAATACGGTCGGCGGTGGGGGTGAATTCAAGCGACATCGTACCATCGCTTCCGTGTCTCTTCCTGTCTCCCCGGATCTTGAGGCGGAAAATCTCATCCTCCAGGCGCTGGTTCTCCAACTCCACGGCCAAAAGTTCAGCGTCCAGGCTTCGTCTGAGGGCCTCTCCACGCTCTGCGAAAACCACGAAGCAGATCGTCCTGAACTCACAGGCGGTGGTTGGGAACGCAATCACTCACGTCTAGGAAACGGAGTGTGCGCCAGTAGCCTCTGCCTTGGCTGCTGCTGATGACCGATGGTGTTAAACATTGATGACGCTAAAACATGATAATGTTGTTGATGCCGTTATTACTGATGATAATTATGATGACGGCATTGATGAGAATGATGATGGTGTTGGGAAAATTATAATGTTGCTGATGATGATGATGATGCAACTGCTGATGAAGTTGATGCTTCTGCTAACAATAATGTTACTGATGATGATATATTTACGACTGCTGCTGATAATGATGCATGATGTTGATAAGCATCATGCTGATAATGATGAAGACGATGACAATGTTCACCGACAATACTGATGATGAGTATGATGTTGATGCAGAAGATACCGCTTAGGATGTTGTTGAAAATGTTGGCTATGATGACAACGATGATGATATTGCTGTATCGATGTTGCCGATGATGATGCTGCTTCACCCACTGTGGCCCTTGTGCCGAGGCTTCTCCTGCCTTGGTGCCCGTGCAGGTCGAGGCTTCTCCAAGGCCTCCGCCTCTGCCTGCAGAGCCTGCATGTGGCCCAGGAGCACCGGGTCCCGACCCCCGCTGTGCAGGTAATGCATACGCACAGCACTGCGGGCACACACGGGGACGCATGCGACACACGGGGAGGAGAGGGAAACCACAGTGGGGAGAGGGGAGACACGGAGTAAATAATAGAGACGCAAAGAGAAAAGGGGAGATGCGGGTATGAGAGAGGAGACAGGAAGGAGAGGAAAGAAATGGGGAGAAGGAAGATGAAGCTCGCGTTCACATGATAGTGGTTTTGTGGTCGTTCGTAAATGAGGCCTCGTGAGCACAGATATAAGGTGCCGACTGTGCCAGAACTATTGGATCTAGCAGGAGGAAGGAAGCAGTGGCGAAGAGCAGTGGAATCAACGGAATTGGTCATCGAATGTATAATGACCAACTTTAGAAGGTGTTTTCTAAACTTATAGAAAGATGACCTTATAAATACAAGAAAGGCAGGAAATGACAAATACAAGACTGACGTCTTGACATTGTCTCTCACCTGATCTCTGCAGAAAGGCTTCCGCCTCCTAGGTAAGGAATAAACGCGGCCATGTTTTGATTGGACTGAGGTTCAGTCGTTCCTTCTGCAGGATTGGATCTGGATAGAGACGCAAAGAGAAATGTGTCCACGTGGATATGTACACACATAAATACAAGGATGCCCTGTTGATTAATATACCATAGACTATCGGCAAGTGCCGTGATAGAGCACCTATTAAGTTTAACATCGTACACTCAGGGGTGGTGTGGTCAGAACCACATCCGCCCACCTTTTGTTCCCCTGCTGCTGTTGTTTACACATCACAAAAGGTTCTCATTTAAGGCTGAGTCGACCTAGGGGAGGCTCAGGACAAGTTCTAATCATAAATGGCACTCAAGTTAGGCATGAATGGAAATTAAACTCAAGCAATAGAGCTCATGGTACAGTGTCCATCATTACATGTGGGACACATACGTGCATGCACACAAGGACATGCGCAGACATGCACATTCACTCACAAACACACATACAGACATAATTTCACGTCCCATATACAGGGATCAAACCCGAGACTGCAGTGGTCAGTGATACTGAACCTAACACAAACATTATACAGCTGACACAACCACAATGCACGTGACCCGGCCATTATTAATCTGAGTTGGCCATTATGAATCTCGCACGGCCATTATGGACCTGACATAACGATATGAGCCTGACAAGGCCATTATGAATCTGACATAAACATTATGAACTCCGACTTAAAGCTTTCGTGACTGCAGGAATTCATATTCTCTGGGTCTTTCGGTAAAGTCACGTAAATAGGTTCAAAGAAACCTATCTACGTGACTTTACCGAAAGACCCAAAGAATATTGTGAACTCCCTAAGAGAAAAACACGCGCAGTCCCGATGGTTGGACCCAGGACCAGGATGCAGGGTAATCAGTGGGGTCACAGGTCACCACGGTCCAACTCACGAGGCTTTGCCTTGCAGCTGCTGGAGCTGCTGAGTGAGGAGGCCCAGCGAGGCCTGGTTGCGCTGCTCCTGCTCGCGCAGTTCCCGGATAAGTCTCGACACGGAGTTGTCTTGTGCCACACCCTCTCCTCCTCCTCCACCTCCGCCTTGTTTTCGGGAAGACAGCTCCTCCATTTTCCTGCGTATGTCTGCGCATAAATCGCCGATTAAAAAAAAACTTGCAAACACCATCACAAGCTTCTCTAATCCGTGGCCTTCTTGTCTGTGATGTGTAAAAACGATCATATATATTTTGTCCTTTTCTCCATTTTATCGAGATTATGCTACGAGCGTCATGCCATGAGACGAAGAACCCAATTGGGATAACTCACAGAGGAATGCAACCCAATGTGTTAGAAAAGTGGATACCACAGAGCTACCTACAAAATCCCTTCAAGTGAATTCTGGTCCAGGTAGTAGCGGGCAGAATTTTCCCACTCACTCTGCCACTGACAGAAATGTTCGCCACGTGACAATCAAACCAGTGCGTCTAATTCTCAGAGCTAAACTTTTGCCAAATCAAGTGCAGAGCCTAGTTTTACATGATGGGATTTTGTGCAGTCATCAGTGATCAAGCCGAGGCCATCGACTCGCTACACTTGAGAACTTCGTTTATTATTTTGGTTCACGATGACCATGTTAGAGACGCCGAGCTAGAACGTGGCCTCAGCGATCACCTCTCACCTTCTCTCTGATGCTCCAGCTCGGAATTCCGGGCCTGGATTTCGGCGAGCTGCCTCCCATGAGCCTCTGCCAAGGCCCTCAGCTGCATATTTTTGGTGTTGATGTCCTGCCACCACAGAGTCAGGGTTAGAGTCAGAGTCAGGGTCTGGGTTAGAGTTATAGTCAGTGTTAAAGTCATGGTCAGGGTTAGAGTTGGGGTGAGAGTCAGCATCATGATTAAAGTCAGTGTTACAGTCAGGGTCAGGGTTAGAGTCAGGGTCATGGTTTGAATCAGGGTTTGGGTTAGGGTTAGAGTCAGGGTTAGAGTCATGGTCAGGGTTAGAGTTTGGGTTAGAGTTATTAAATAATGTCAGGCAGAGCGTTAGATGTAGAGTTAGGGTAAGGAAAAGGGTTTGGTTTCGAGTCAGAGTTACGTCTTAGGATTATGGTTAATGTTAACGTAAGGGGTTGGGTTAAAATTTATGGTTAAGCATATGGTTACTGTTCATGTTTGGCTTAGAGTTAGTGTTGGGGTCAGGGCTTGTGTTAAACTTAGTGTTCGATTAAGGTTTAGGGTTAGGATCAGAATTTGGGAAAAAAGCTGCTTAAAGTTGGCAGGTCCAATTAAAGTCGTGTGTCTCCGGCTCGGCCAACTTGAGCCGGCTGATTTCAAGTACTCACTTCTTCATTGCCTCTCCAGGAGCGGTTGGTGGCAATGTTCGCCTCAATGGACGCGCGCAGTTTGTGAAACTACAGGGGAGAGCGTGCAGCGACATCTCAGACAACAACCTTTAACCCCCAGTTAATCACCGCAGTGGCGCGATGTTAACTACATCGCCTGGTATACAGGAGGTCCAGGGTTCGATCACGACCCTGACGCCTGTATATGTGAAGTTTGCGTGTTCTACTCGTGATCGTGTGGATGTTTATCCGGGTCCTCCGGTTTTTCCCTCCACATTTAGAAGCATGCATTTCGAGTATTTGGCTGCTATAAATGTACACACGATAAGCCACTTAGTTGAGCTATCATTACGACCAGATCACCTCTGGAAAAGGACTATATAGCTAGTGGGTCTTACCTGGTAAAATAAATATAGTTTAGTTTTAGTTTAGTCTGAACAAATCAACGCACAGCGAGAGACGCCACGGCGAAACAGAACTCTGCACTGCATCCGCACTAGATTAAATTGGGCTGAAGTTAAACCAGCCTAGATTAGGCGGGGTATAATCTGGTCGAGGCTGGGTTCATGCTCAGCTACTTCAGATCAGTGGGTCCCAACCTGTGCTCCGTAGACCCTGGTGGTCCACAGGACCGTGGAAAGTGGTCCACGAAACTGTTGCAGATGCAACACATTTTTTCAGGTTTACTACTAAAGCGACAAATTAGTTTTTAATTGCTTTTTAATGAACATTTGGCAGCATTTTTAGACTACTGTATATATTTTTTATAGTTGATTGGTGCATGGTGATCCGCAAAATAAGGTGATGGTTGACAGCGGATGGCGGGTCCAGAAAGGTTTGGAACGGCTGCCCCCAGACTATATGAGACTAAACTGATATACGTTTCAAGCGGCTCACAAATAAATGGTTAAAAATGCACTCGGGCTTTGTGTATTATTAAAAATCAATCAGCATTTCCTGAAGAAGTGCATTGTGGTCCTCTTGTTTGAGGTCACCATGAAATTTGAGCAAATGAGACGAACTCACAGGCTGGTATATCTATACAGTACGTCTAAATCAGCTCAAGTCTCCCATAAATCACTTGACTTCTGTGTGACCACCCCCACTCTGAATGCCTCCTCCTCCACCCGACGCCCCCTGTGAAAACACACGCCGCTCCGTGCAGCTCACTGCTGCTCGCTCATCTCTTCTCCCCCTCTTCCCTCCTCTCATCATCACTGTCATCCCTGACATCTTGGCCTAGTCATTCCTTCTCCCCCTCCTCCCCTTCCCTTTCTACATGGTGCTCATTTTGGGGCATGCCCTCTTTGTCTGTCCTGTGGACTTCCATCCCGGCATCCCGTCCCTTCCCCAGTCGTTACAAAGCTTGGGGTATTGCCGGGTGGTGGAGGGAGACTGAACCGGTTTACAGCAGACGAGGCGAGGGGGGCAGGGCGCAGCACCTCTTGCGCGAGGTGGCCAAGGGCTTGTTCGTCTCCATCATCGTCCCCACTGCCCTCCCGTCTCAGGATGCCCCTCTCTCTCTCCAGGAGCAGCTTCTCCTCCATGTCTCGCCGTGTCCTCATCTCCTCGCGACGTTTCTTAAACGACATCAGCTGCGACGCCTGTTGCACACAGAGCAAGACGCGACCCACACGAGCAACATGACGTGGATTTCAATCGCTTACACATTCTACCGCATCTCAAGATTGCTGTACAGAACAGCGGAACATGGGCATCTCGGGGAAAGGAGACGTATTTATTTATAGAGAGAAAAAGGCCATCAGTCATAAAGCAGAGAGAGAGAGAGAAACAAAAAGTATTGAGACTGAACTTGAACAGGGGCAGGAAGCCAACTGCATGATGGTTGGGAACAGGAAAATCCCGACTATTTGGGCAGCAGATGAGAATGAAACGACCTCCCACTGAGTGGAGGTTGACTGGGGGCTGACATGATTGATGCTTTGGTTACTGGAGTAGAGAGCGATTGGAGAGTAGGTTGAAATCAGCGGGTTGGCTGGGGTGAGTCTATGGATGATCTTGACGATAGTGAGAGGATTGTTGACATTGAAACGGGACTGGATGAAGGGAGATGGAAGCATTGTGGTGATGTGGTCTCGTTAACGGGTGCGATTGAGGAGTTGGGCAGTGGCAGTTGGATCATCTTGAGTTTGGAGGGACGAGGGAAGATCACAGGGCAGTCGCAGTAGTCGAGTTGAGATGTTATCAAGGCATAGATGAAGTTCTCATCAGTAACTGTGGAAGATGCGGCCCAGATGGAGGTGTGAGATCCTGAACATGTTGAGATGTGTGTCAAGAAAACGAGATGTGACGACCAATGACATCTCCCAGGTTTCGCACACTGTGCACCAGTGTGGTGTCAAGAGTTCAGGAGGTGCCAGACTCAAACTGGTGTTTTTCCCAAAAAGGAGTGCTTCAACTTTGGCAAAACTTATCTGTAGGAAGTTAGAACCAATCTAAGGCTGCACCAGGGCAGGGTGCGTGAGAGCGGCAGCGAGATTGAATTCACGGAGTCGGTGACGGTGCAGATGTGGGCGTCGTCTGCGTAGAAGCGATGGTCGACATTCAAATTGACGAAGATTTTGCCTAGAAGCAAAATCATCTCTCTCACCAGGTGAGAGGGAGTGATGCTCCCCTCTCTTCTAATCCCTCCTCTCTCTCTCTCTCTTGGCTCTCTCACCAGGTGAGAAGGAGTGTTTCTACACTCTCTTCTAATCCCTCCTCTCTCTCTCTCTTGGCGATCTCACCAGGTGAGAGGGAATGTTTCTCCACTCTCTTCTAATCCCTCCTCTCTCTCTCTTGGCTCTCTCACCAGGTGAGAGGGAGTGTTTCTACTCTCTCTTCTAATCCCTCCTCTCTCTCTCTTGGCTCTCTCACCAGGTGAGAGGGAGTGTTCCTACTCTCTCTTCTAATCCCTCCTCTTTCTTGGCTCTCTCACCAGGTGAGAGGGAGTGATGCTCCACTCTCTTCTAATCCCTCATCTCTCTCACTCTCTCTCTTGGCTCTCTCACCAGGTGAGAGGGAGTGATACTCCACTCTCTTCTAATCCCTCCTCTCTCTCTCTCTTGGCGATCTCACCAGGTGAGAGGGAGTGTTGCTCCTCTCTCTTCTAATCCCTCCTCTCTCTCTCTTGGCTCTCTCACCAGGTGAGAGGGAGTGATGCTCCACTCTCTTCTAATCCCTTCTCTCTCTCTCTCTCTCTTGGCGATCTCACCAGGTGAATGGGAGTGTTGGTCCACTCTCTTCTAATCCCTCCTCTCTCTCACTCTCTCTCTTGGCTCTCTCACCAGGTGAGAGGGAGTGTTGGTCCACTCTCTTCTAATCCCTCCTCTCTCTCTCTTGGCGATCTCACCAGGTGAGAGGGAGTGTTGCTCCTCTCCCCGTGCACGTCTCCGATGCAGAACCTATCCCTGTGTTTGTTCTTCAGCTGCTGGGAGCGGAATCCCATCCCACATCGCTCACAGCGCCACGCCATCTCCAACACACAGGGCCTGCATACATCACCATCATCATTAACAGCATCAGCAACCACGAAACTTCATTATTATCAACATCAGCAGCATCATAAGCAAAAAAAGTATACTAAAATTTTTTTTCGTACGAGTTGGTGTGTATGAGTTTGTGTACGTTACGAGTCGGTGTACGAGTCGGTATGTATGACTCGGTGTGTATGAGTCGGCGTGTATGAGTCGGTGTGTACGAGTTTGTGTACGAGTTGGTGTGTGTATACGAGTACAGTATACCAGTATGCATAGTGCGTACATTACGTGTATGAGTGTGACCTGTACAGCATTCGTCTATATGAGTACCGTTCTGTATATCTTCATGAACACTACACAGCGTGTATACACACACGAGTCGGCGTATAAGAGGCAAGAGAGTGTACGTTTGTATTTTAGATGTAGGAGTGTAGTAGTGATGATGATAATGATGCACTCACAGAATCTGGCCCCAAGTCTCCTGGATTCCGCGTCCAACACTCAACGCCCGCTCGCCATGGCAACGGGCGCGTTGTTTGTTTACAGGTGAGTAACAGTGTGGGCAGGTGTGGGAGTGTGTGTGTGGTGTGTGGGTGTGTGTGTGGGAGTGTGACCAGGTATGTGGGAGTGTGGGAGTGTGGGCAGATGTGGGCAGCTGTGGGCAGGTGTGTGGGAGTGTGTGTGTGAGCAGGTGTGTGTGTGTGAGCAGGTGTGTGGGTGTGTGTGTGGGCAGGTGTGTGAGAGTGTGTGTGAGCAGGTGTGTGGGAGTGTGTGGGAGCAGGTGTGTGGGAGTGTGTGTGTGAGCAGGTGTGTGTGTGTGGGAGTGTGTGTGTGAACAGGTGTGTGTGTGTGAGCAGGTGTGTGGGAGTTTGTGTGTGAACAGGTGTGTGTGTGAGCAGGTGTGTGTGTGTGAGCAGGTGTGTGGGAGTTTGTGTGTGAACAGGTGTGTGTGTGAGCAGGTGTGTGGGAGTGTGTGTGTGTGGGCAGGTGTGTGGGAGTGTGTGAGCAGGTGTGTGGGAGTGTGTGTGTATGAGCAGGTTTGTGTGTGTGAGCAGGTGTGTGGCAGTGTGTGTGAGCAGGTGTGTGTGTGTGTGACCAGATGTGTGGGAGTGTGTGTGAGCAGGTGTGTGTGACCAGGTGTGTGGGAGTGTGTGTGAGCAGGTGTGTGTGTGACCAAGTGTGTGGGAGTGTGTGTGTGAGCAGGTGTGTGTGACCAGGTGTGTGGGAGTGAAGTGTGTGAGCAGGTGTGGGAGTGTGTGTGTGTGTGTGGAGAGCGGTAGTGTAGCAGTTAGCATGCTGCGCTACGAACCCGGCGACCCGGGTTCGATTCCCGCTCACGGCCAACCCCAGTGACGATTATTTAAACCGGTCCTGGGCCTCCCCTAGGTCGACTCAGCCTCAAATGAGTACCCGGTGCGGTGTGTAAACATCGCCACTAAGGAGACAAAGGCGGTCGGGCGTGGTGCTGGCCACTCACCCCCTCGTGTACCGTTCCGGCCTTCATAGGCGCTCGCTAACAGCACTTGCCCCTACAGTCTGTTAAGGCTATACGGGGGATCTTTGTGTGTGTGTGGCAGTGTGTGGCAGTGTGCGTGGGCGGTTGGGCAGGTGTATGGGTGTGTGTGTGGGTGTGTGCGTGGGAGGGTGCGTGGGAGTGTGAGTAGGTGTGTGGGAGTCTGTTAAAGCCATACGTAGGATCTTTGTCTTCGTGTCGGTTTGTATATCTCGGGAGTGTTTGTGTGTGTAGGAGTGTTTGTGTGTGTAGGAGTGTGAGAGTTTTGGGCAATGGTAGTGTAGTACTTAACGGGCTGCGCTACGAACCCGGCGACCCGAGTTCGATTCCCACTCATAGCCAACACCAGTGACAATTATCTGAACCGGTCCTGGGCCTCCCCGAGGTTGACTGAAATGAGTACCTGGTGCGATAAACATCGACACTGGCGAGACAAAAACGGCCAGGAGTTGTGCCACCCACCCACCCCCTCGTGTGCCGTTCGTCCTTCATAGGTGCTCGCTAACAGCGCCTTGCCCTAGGAGTCTGTGTAGTCTTCGCCGACAGAGCAAAAAAAACAACCGTCAATGCAATTTAACCTTTGCGCAAAAGACTGGTCATATAGTATTGCCACTATATTCAGGTCACATTTTCTATGCGGCCAACGATAGAAAACGGTTCAGATAATCGTCACTGGTGTTGGCCGTGTGCAGGAACCGCAAAATCTGGAATTACATCGATCAAAACACCACTACAAAAATTCGCCCTGAGTATATGCAGTTGAGGTAACAGGTCGCCCTTACAAAAAAATGTAGGTCCAAAGAAAGCAGATATCACCTTTAGAACTGTGAGCTTGAGAAAACCATCTCACGGTCCGAGAGGGTTCCGTGCAACGTACTGCGAGAAACGGGCAAAAGAAGATTCCTGGAGATGGTGGCCTCTTGAGAATTTAACGACCGCAGGAAGACTCAAAGCAATAATTTGGTACGAAACATTTTAAAGTGTGTCAAAGCAGTCGCAAAACACTGCAAGGTACCCGCATGAACAGATCCGCAGTTAGGACTGCAGCTAAAATAGAATTACTCCCTCTAGCAGTGGAGATTCTCAACGGCAAATTAGTCACATTCAGCCCGACGGCACAGAAACAAGAAATACTCAAATCACTGTGCCTAACACTATTGGGAGTGTATTCTTCCTTTAAGGAGCAAGTGTCCACCTCACAGCACACCGATCAACTGCCAATGTAAGATTCGGACAGCTTCCATCTTTACAGCGAGGGAAAGACAAGTGGCAGATGAAAGTGAAGATTCCGTGAAAGTGGAAAGCTGATACCAATAGAAAATAACATTATAAACCGGAATTAAAAAAACATGTTCATATGCAGAAGATATTTGCAGATGTTACCACCGTCCTCTGCAGTGCTTGTGTCGGCAACAATGAGCTTTTAATTGCTGAGATCCTGATATTGATTCATGTTTTAGCCAACCGTGTTCTCAAGTGTGGCAAGTTGGTCAAACTCAGTCCAGTTATGAATTCATTAAAAACATGTTTTTGGTTTGTCACTTAATTTATATATTTCCCACTCTGCAGACTAAGCAAAACATGTTGAGGCTTTATTGCCATACAGCAAATACCTCGACAGCCTGCGTGCCCCGCGTGGAGACAAGAGAAAACCAAAGTGCTTTCAGCAGTAGTTCTGTGACATTAACTTGAGGTCATTGACCGACAGTGGCCATTGCGTAGCTGACCATGGGAGTTTGCCAATGTAAAGTGCTTCATCTTATGGCAACATAATACAAGCTTCAGGCACAAGCAGAGCATAATTAGAGCAGGAAGATTAAACACAATTTAAAGGACTTTTATGGAAAAACACCGTATTTACAAAAGCCACACCACTTTAACTGCACAAAAAACAACCCACATCGGTTATTTAACCAGGCGACTTTAAATCAAAACTTAAAATGTAAATGTAAGGACTTTCAACTGGAATCTTGTAAATAAATTAAAATATCATTTGGGGACAGGCTCAGCCCATCCCTTCCACGGCAGTATTAATCGGGAATACTTTGTCTCGATTTTTTCAATCACGTATGCTGTTCTCATTTTTTCAGCTTCGTATTTCGTGTTCAGCCTAAATGTAACAGCACATCACTTGCATATTATTTGCATAAATTGTAAATATATTCATTCTCGTACGCACAATTCGACGCATGTATCGCGAGTGTAAAAGACAATTATACACCTTGTGGTAGTTCCCTGTAAAGATTGGCCCATTCATGGTTGTGGAATTTCCACTGCTGGCTATGAGTCATCAGCAGATATGAGCACCATCCTTGTTTCAGCAAGGAGACACTTTAATGTGTCATTTTAGTCAAAAAATTATTAAAATGTGAAATAAATACTCCCTCGTATGGCTGAAGTTCATGTAGAGCCACAAGTACAATTTTACATTGTGGTGGAGCCAGATAATTGCATCAGGAATAGTGGAGTGTTTTGCTGTGACGAGGCCTCCTTTGTATTTGTGAAACAAAACTGACCCGACACTTATAAAAAAAGATGATAGATGATAAGTGGGTTATCACCTGATTAAATAAAGGTGAGAAATAAATCATATTTTAGAAATGTACAAAATGTACATATTCTTTGGGTCTTTCTGTAAAGCCACTTAGAAAAATAATAAATAAAAATATCACGACGTTTCGATCGCAACACAAGCAATCGTCATCAGGTAAAAAATATAGCGGGAGAGCTGCTGAGGCAGGATGTTATAAAGGTTTGAGATGGGTCTAGCCCAAGGGTCATAAGCGAAGTGGGCGGGGCTAGAGATTAAATTTGCATGTCAATGTAAGATGGGTGAGCTGGGCTCAGAGGTCGCAACCGGGTACCCGATATCCGTACCCTACCCATACCCGGCTACCCGTACCCGGCCAGGTACGGGTACAGGTACCCGTTTGCGACCCTGGTGCAGCCAGGGTACGGGTACGGATAGGCCGCGAGTCACTGGTGAGTAACCGTTTGTCACTCATTTCGGGTAGGGTAGGGAACGGGTACCCGTACCCGGCCGGGTACGGGTACCCATTTGCGACCCTGGTGCGGCCGGGTACGGGTAAGGAATCAAAACCCGTTTGCGACCTCTGGCTGGGCTACCTCCACGACGACGAAGCTGTGGAGGTGGCCATTGTATTGTGAGAGAATACTTGTTCCCAAGGGCCCCGGGGGAAGGCCGCCTGTTATTTGAGGTATGGCCTGACGTGGCTCCCGAGGCGGTTTGGGATGACCCAATTGGCGAGGGGTACACCCTCGGCCTGGCCACAGGGCTGGCTCAACACGGTGGTGGGGGACGACATAAATGAGTATGGTTTGATATTCTTAGGTTTTTTTCGGTAAAGTCATGTAGGTAAAAAATTATTAAAATTAATAAAAGTAAAATAAAAATCAGTGAAATAAAAATTAAATAAAAATCTGTGATTTTTATTTTATTTTTATTTTACTTTTATTAATTTTAATAAATTTTTACCTACGTGACTTTACCGAAAGAACCTAAGAATATGAATCACTGCAGTCACGAAAGCTTCAAATCTAGTATGGGTTGAGCCAGAGAGGGGGACCGTGGAACCCCAGGAAGGTGACGGCCGAAGTGGACGAAGGGGAGGCCTGCGAGGGGGTGGTGGGAGCGAAGAGGGCTGTGCACCGACAAGTGTGCAGGAACACTTCATCAACTGGGCTCACAAAGGAGCAGAGGGGCCTGTCCTGGTTGGCGGTGCGGGACAGATTGGGGACGAGGAGCTTCATGTTTTCCCGCCAAATGGCACGCTCCCCCAAATGCCCGAGGGGCTGCGGCACAGATGAGGAAGCGGTGCACATCATGGTGAAGTGGCCCTTCGCACAGGAGGTGTGGAGACGGAGCGGTCCGCTGTTGTCCCGGTTTTACCCGGCGCAGGTGTCAATGCGGGACATTATGTGGGGAGTCTTAAGGGGGATGGGGGAGGGGACGACAGAGATCGGGCGTGGGCCATAATAGGTGCGACGAAGGAGGCCTTGTGGGGGGCGCGAAGAAAGGAGCTGGATGGGTCTCCTGTGACGCCTTTGGGGGGGTGTTACTGGGCGAGCAGGCTGCTGGACAGGGTGATGGGAGTGGACCGGGTTGCGCTGGGATACAAGGCCGCGGGTATGAAGTGGAAGTGGCCCCTACCCGGGGTGGGGTAGGGAGGGGTCGGGGGTATGGGAAGGGACGGGGGGGGGACATGCGTGATCTTGCCGGCCTGCTGAGTGGTGCGGGCGAAGGATGTCCGTGTTCGGTCGAGGGAAGGCGATGTGGTGAAGCATTGCGTGGGTAAATGGTGTTGGGGACGGTGGTTGTGGGGGTGCGGGGCGGTGGGCGTTGCGGTTGCAGGGTTTTTGCTTTGTATATGGGGGGGGGGGGGGGTGCCCACGGATGTGACGGAGATCGGAATGGGCCCGTCGTAGTGTCCGGGATGGAGTGCTGTTTCTTGTGTTTTCTTGGGTTCTCTTTGTATCCGCTGAGAAATTTATAAAAACCCTTTAAATTGAAATTGAGAGAATACTTGTGTTGCGATCGAAACGTCGTGATTTTGTATTTATAATTTTTCTATCTACGTGGCTTTACCGAAATACCCAAAGAATATGAATTCCTGCAGTCACGAAAGCTTTAAGTCAAAATGTACATACTTTATATTACATAACTAATGACATAGAACTGCCTAAATCCACACATTCCCATATACCCAAATGGGTAACACTATAGCAAAGCTACGACCTTCAATCCAACTCTAACCCTATCAGCCGCGTGACTCAATGGTAACAGCGTGTGATGCCTGGTCAAAAGGTCTCAAATTCAAAGTCTCGCCTCGGTTTGACGAGGCTCATGATCATCCCTCTCGGGTAAATAAAATGAATACTGGCCTGGCTGTGCAGAGCCACGCCTTACAAGGCCTAATTGGGACTAAACAGGTCCTACCTTGAAGTCAAGCGTGGTTGTCCTAGTGATACTTGTCTCTGTCATGGAAATATATCATTTCTAACCCAGGCGGCTTGTGATTGTCAACCGAGATGAGTGCAACTCCATGTTCAATTGAGTAAGCAGACACACTGACCTCCGCTAACACCCAATCTTAACCTCCAGTCTCATTAGGAATCTTTCTCAGGCCCACTTAGACCTGGTCTTGCCTGTTCAGGCCTAACTGGGCCCGATCAGGATGTTGCTGGACCCGTTAAACTCCAGTTCTGGCACCTTCAATGCACGATCCTCGAACTAAACGGATCTGATTGGGGTTTCGTTAGGCACTTCTTGTTCCCAAAGAGGCCTAATAATATCTGGTCCAAACCAGTTCAGATCTAGTCCGTATTTGGTCATGATATCGTGGGACCAGTTCAGGCCTAATCATGCCGAGCAATTCCTGGCGATGCCTCTCCAGGTCTAATATGGCTCAGTCAGGGTCCAGTTGGGTCCGCTAAGGTCTGCCTCAAGCCTGCTCGGCCCCTGCGCGAGTTTAGATAGCGGCGAGGCCGGCCTCCGTGCGGCTCGTCACGAGCCTTCCGAGCGTCTGCCACGTGCCGCTGGTCGGGTCGAACATCTCCGTGCTGTCGAGCGTCACGGGGGGCGCCGTCCCCCACAAGGAGCCCTCTGCGCCTGGCAACGCCATGGAGGAGAAGAGCCCACCCCCCGGGGGGGCTATGCGGCCCCCCGTCACGTACAGGCGGCCCCCGACGGCCACCGCGGCGCAACCGGCACGGGCGCAGGGCATGGGCGGGGCTTCCTGCCAACATTCCTGGTGGCCACATGGAGGTGGGGGAGGCAGCAACAAGGAAGGGGAAGAGAGGGGAAGGCAGAGGAGGAATCGGATTATTGGTTGATCCAACAAGGCGAACTGCTGAAATTAACTCATCACGGTCTGACTTATAGCTCTTGTTGTAATGCATTCAGCTCATTGTTCACGGGCTCTGGTTCATCTCATCACCATCTGGTTTTCAGTTTCTCCATTGTTACGCAGTCAACACATTGCTCTTAATAATAATGAACTCTTGATAGAGCGACCTTTGCGCCGGAGGCATCTTAGAAAGATTTATACGCCAAAGCGACTTACAAAACCTCTCATCTCAAACACTTGAAAGGGCACCCCCAGTGGCAGCTGGCCCTGTGCAGCACTAGGTGACTCAGTGCCTAGCCTGTGAGCAGGCATTAGTCTGCGAGTAGGCAGAGATGACTGCTATGGGTAATCTATTTAGAGTAATTTGTGTGCAAATTTTTACTATTATGCTGACACACAATGGCCTGCTCTTGCAAATTACGTCAGGGGATCTTATGGTTAGTACACCCACAGTAATAACCAGAGCGCACAAAGTAATAACCAGGGTGGCCTGCCAGATTCGAACCGTAAACCTCTGCAACAAGCGGAGATCACGCTACTAATGGGTCATGTTCTGCGACTTTCTAGTGCACCTCGGTGACGTTGCTGCATTGACATTGTATGGGACAGACATCGCAGTGACATCAATAAATAGTTGTTATAATGCTGTGATTGAGACTGAGTTTGAAGTATTGTTTCTCTTGGGAAAGGTTTTAAACTTAAAGGGGAATTCCCATGACACACAGCCTAGGTGTGCAGTTACTAGAGAAGATCCACTGTGTTTCTTGGTTTGTCTTCTCTTTTATATATATACCAACAAGAAAAATCATGAACCAAATATTCAAATTATCAGTCACTCGGGAACCTCTTCATCACTATGAGAACCTCATTTGCCAGTAAAAATATGATAATTGGTTCTTTACCCTTCTATCTGGCAACAAAACTGACACCTTTTTACAAGGAGTCATGTTTGCATAGACCGCAATACCTGCAGTCATAATACAAACAAAAGAACATAACTCTGATAATGTGCACTGGCCTTGAAGTTGATTGGTCCACACCCGAGACAGCTTTCCTTAGAGCCTAGTCTCATATGGGTTGGACCAGATGACGCCAAAAGGCGCACAACTCAAGGACAATGCACCATCAGAGTATGAGAGCTCGGGGCAAGCATCTACACTATGAGAACCTCATTTGCCAGTAAAAATATGATAATTGGTTCTTTACCCTTCTATCTGGCAACAAAACTGACACCTTTTTACAAGGAGTCATGTTTGCATAGACCGCAATACCTGCAGTCATAATACAAACAAAAGAACATAACTCTGATAATGTGCACTGGCCTTGAAGTTGATTGGTCCACACCCGAGACAGCTTTCCTTAGAGCCTAGTCTCATATGGGTTGGACCAGATGACGCCAAAAGGCGCACAACTCAAGGACAATGCACCATCAGAGTATGAGAGCTCGGGGCAAGCATCTACACTATGAGAACCTCATTTGCCAGTAAAAATATGATAATTGGTTCTTTACCCTTCTATCTGGCAACAAAACTGACACCTTTTTACAAGGAGTCATGTTTGCATAGACCGCAATACCTGCAGTCATAATACAAACAAAAGAACATAACTCTGATAATGTGCACTGGCCTTGAAGTTGATTGGTCCACACCCGAGACAGCTTTCCTTAGAGCCTAGTCTCATATGGGTTGGACCAGATGACGCCAAAAGGCGCACAACTCAAGGACAATGCACCATCAGAGTATGAGAGCTCGGGGCAAGCATCTACACTATGAGAACCTCAATTGCCAGTAAAAATATGATAATTGGTTCTTTACCCTTCTATCTGGCAACAAAACTGACACCTTTTTACAAGGAGTCATGTTTGCATAGACCGCAATACCTGCAGTCATAATACAAACAAAAGAACATAACTCTGATAATGTGCACTGGCCTTGAAGTTGATTGGTCCACACCCGAGACAGCTTTCCTTAGAGCCTAGTCTCATATGGGTTGGACCAGATGACGCCAAAAGGCGCACAACTCAAGGACAATGCACCATCAGAGTATGAGAGCTCGGGGCAAGCATCTACACTATGAGAACCTCATTTGCCAGTATAAATATGATAATTGGTTCTTTACCCTTCTATCTGGCAACAAAACTGACACCTTTTTACAAGGAGTCATGTTTGCATAGACCGCAATACCTGCAGTCATAATACAAACAAAAGAACATAACTCTGATAATGTGCACTGGCCTTGAAGTTGATTGGTCCACACCCGAGACAGCTTTCCTTAGAGCCTAGTCTCATATGGGTTGGACCAGATGACGCCAACAGGCGCACAACTCAAGGACAATGCACCATCAGAGTATGAGAGCTCGGGGCAAGCATCTACACTATGAGAACCTCATTTGCCAGTAAAAATATGATAATTGGTTCTTTACCCTTCTATCTGGCAACAAAACTGACACCTTTTTACAAGGAGTCATGTTTGCATAGACCGCAATACCTGCAGTCATAATACAAACAAAAGAACATAACTCTGATAATGTGCACTGGCCTTGAAGTTGATTGGTCCACACCCGAGACAGCTTTCCTTAGAGCCTAGTCTCATATGGGTTGGACCAGATGACGCCAAAAGGCGCACAACTCAAGGACAATGCACCATCAGAGTATGAGAGCTCGGGGCAAGCATCTACACTATGAGAACCTCATTTGCCAGTAAAAATATGATAATTGGTTCTTTACCCTTCTATCTATATCGCTCTTTTTTCAGAAGCAACCCGGCCACAGATGATAGCTCAACGAAGTGGCTTATCATTTGAAAATGTATACCAGTCAAATACTCCATGCGACCACGGGGAGACTTGCCTCATCGGGCGAGTACACCTCCACGGAGTCGAGGGCGCCCAGCGCGTCGTCCCAGCCTCCGAGCGCGTAGATGCGACCGCCCAGTGCGCACAGCGCCACGTGGGAGCGCGCGCGCTGCAGCGCAGGCAGCCACGTCCAGCGCTGCCTCCGCGGATCGAACGACGCCGTTGACGAGAGCTCCGAGCTGCCCACGCCCAGCCCGCCCGCCACGTAGATCAGGCCTGGCAAGCGCGCCGGCAGCGGCAGTGGAGAGAGAAGCAGAAGCAGAAGCAAGCGGATACGAGGAGAGAAGGAGATGTTAAAGGGAGAAGAAAGACATGCAGAGAAGGGAGATATGGGGTAGAATAAAGAGAGGCAAGGAGATAAGGGAGATATAGGAAGCAGGGAGATATGGGGATTAAGGAGGGATACATGCGGAGAAGAGAGACAGTGAAAAGGGAGACGCAATGTGAAATCAGACAAGGAGAAGGGAGACATTGGGGAAAAAAGGAGATATTTTAAAGGAGGCACAGGGAAAACGATGGAGACACAGAGGAAAAAGAAGATATAGGGACGAGGGAGACATCGGCAGGAGGGAGACATCGGGAGAAGGGAGACAGGGAAGGGAAGCATATGTAGAAGCGATATGAGAAACAGGGAGTTGGGAGGCATACAGATACACCGACACATTCAGAGACATGGAGACACAGTGACATGGTTGTATATTTTATGAGCAAACGCAAATTGTATTCCTCCGCTAAGCAGAAAAACGTAAAGAAAAAATTATATTGGGGTAACAAGCGCATTAGATACAGGACACAGAGGCATTGACTGGGGGGCGGGGGGCAGTGGTGCTGCCTGCAGAGAAAATGGAACGAACCGTCCATGTGGCAGCAACCAAAGCTGTGACGAGGAGGTTCCATGCTGTCCAGAGCCACCCAGCGATTCTCGGCCGCATCATAACGCTCCACCGATGAGCCTATGTCGGCACCCACCCAGCCTCCTACAGCAGCATCAGCAGCACAGGCCAGGCAGTGAAACCCACTGGGAAATTCAGCCTCCTAGATAATGAGACTCAATCAAGACTCGGATCCATAGATTGTCTTAAGAGAGACTGCGATCATAAACCCCAGTCTCAATCGAGACTTTTATTCCAAACACGATCTAAATTAATCCTTTCCTATTCCGGTAACTTACACGTACATCTTTCGATTTAAAGCTTTCGTGACTGCAGGGATTCATATTCTTGATTCTTTCGGTAAAGTCACGTAGAAGGCAAATAATATTGTTTTTTTTTATTATCATTTCCCTTCTACGTGACTTTACCGAAAGAACCAAAGATATTACATGTACATCATCAGTTTTTCTTCAGATTCCGTTCCGATGACGCACACATACAGAAAAGGCCATATCGGAAGGGCGTGTGGCACAGATTGGCACAAGCTATCACAGGGTGCGGGTCGTGTCGCTACAGTTCTCTGTGGCGAGTACAATGTCTATAAAAACAGCGGCGTCATGCCTCTAAATAAAATGTATGCTAACCGCTTGCGGACCCAGGACCCACCCTGCAACTTGCGCTCGTCTCGGAATGGGACGTCTGCAAGTTGCAAGCGTTAAGTGGCGACTCTTACAAAGACTCCGACCCAGAATCTCAATCTCAATCAATACTCAAATCCTGAAACCCATTCTCGATGGCTCTCCATGAAGACAAAAACCGCACACCATGTTTCCTGGAGCCAACAACACTCAATCAAGATTCTGATCCTGAAGCTCAGTGTCAATCATAACTGTTCCGCCAAAACCCAGAGTATTGCAACTCTACAGTAAGTGCTTACCCATGACGTAAATGGCTCCATTGCAGACACAGGCTCCAAAGCTGCATCGAGGGGAGAGCATGGATGCTACGGGAGCCCACTGCCGACACACGGGGTCAAACCTCTCCACAAATGCGAAGATCATTGATTCGCTCTCTCCTGAAACAAGATCATCACACAAGACAATTGAGGTGCCCTTGCCAGTCCCAAAACTCAGGCTCATGGATCAGATTACAAGACTAAACTGATGCGATCCCCAAATAACCAAGACACTGATTTTGAGAACAGGTGTGAAATACACTGATCCTAAAACCCAGATTTAATAAAGACTCTGAATCTTGAATGCAGTCCCCATAGATAATCTGATGCAAAAAAAGTCTCAATTAAGACTCTAATCTTAAAACCCATCCTCAATCAATACTTTGATCCTGAAACCCAGTCTCAATCAACACTCTTATCATGGAATTGAAGCTCAATCAAGATTCTGATCAGAAAACCCAGTCCCCAGGAGCCGATTTTGTAAACTAACCTCCAATTGCGTAAATGAATCCATCGAGCGTGACCACACAGTGACCACTCCGGGCCTGGTGGAGAGATGGTTCCAATGTCCAGTAGAGTGAGATGGTGTCCATACGCTCCACACAGCTCAGAGCGCGGCTGTCTCCCCATCGACCCCCCTGCTGCCTTGTGTATCCTCCTAGGGGTGGCAGGGGGAGGTGGGGAAAAGAGGGGGAGCTATGACCATGCACCATGGGCTCCGTTGTACAGTACCCGTTAATGTTTTTTATTTCATATATTATTATAGACATAGGTTAACCAGACAGACTTACAAACGTCGCTTTCAGGTTTCAATATAAAACCTGGTCAATGTAAAAAAAAAACTCTGTACCTGAAACCAGTTGGGTGTCAAATCAATGATTTTGATCCTCATACCCAGTCTCTCTGAGTCTCAGACTCTGATGCTGAAACTCAGGTTCCTGGAACCGGGTCTGAATCAACAGACTCTGATCCTGAAACCCAATGTCAATCAAAGATCGAGTCGTGAATCCTGGTCTCCCGAATCCCGAGTCTCACCGATGACGTAGAGGTATTTGCGAGCTTTTCTCCGCGGCTTGGCTCTACGAGAAAAGTCAGAGGTGGAGACGGCGGTTGGTCGGGAGGACTTGCTCAGTCGAGGGACCTGGTACTCATCCAGCAAAACCTGCAGGGCCACTCGAACGCTGAGATCTTCAATGGCTGAGACACAAGCACATGAGAAGGCCGATTGTTTGCGGGACGACGGAACACAGCTCTCATCTTGCGTTGTTTTGTTTTTCTGAATTGAGCTGCATGGGACTCATGATTATTTTGTGCAGAAATCTTGGCTAAATTTATACTGCTAGAGAACCATGCTTCACAAGCTCATAGGCTAATAGACCTGAATATAATTATATTTTAACATTGCGAAATACAGCCTTGTCCAATATTTATTTAAAATCTTATTTTGTATATGTGTACCTAGTAGGATGCATGTATTATTTCACTCATGAGACATGAATTAATCATGGGCATGAGAAAAGAACATTTATCATTTATGCAAATTATACACTTACATTTAAGCTAATAGAACTGTACAAAAACATTATTTTAAGGAATAGAAATGAGATGGTCCGAATGAGAAAAAATACAATAAGATATTGAATCGAACTATGACCAGAATCGTAACAGTTACACTCGAGAATACAATTTCGCTTTATAAACAATATAAATGTGACATCTCAGTTCGCCACACATAAACAGTGGCCATATGGATTTAAAGCTTTCGTGACTGCAGGGATTCATCTTCTTGGTTCTTTCAGTAAAGTCACGTAGAAGGGAAATAATAAAATGTTTTATTTTTATTATTTTATTATTTCCCTTCTACGTGACTTTACCGAAAGAACCAAGAAGTAGTGGCTATATGTATTACATATAAAGAGAAACAGTCATCAGCAAAGAAAAACAGGAATGTCTTGAGCTTGAACTTGAACAGGAGGTTGTCAGCACCAATGGCTGGGGGAAGGGAGTTCATGAAATTACCATGGGGTGGATTAATCCTTGCATATCGAGTATCTAGGCTACGTGCCGCAACTAACGTCCACCTTCCAACACCATCGCTGCCAGCACCACCCCCTCACCGTCGATGGTGGAGGTGACGGTGGTGGGCGGGATCAGTGGGAGCCGCACGGCTTTGATGATGTGGAGGAGGTGGAGGCGGCGCGAGGCCGGAGCGTGCAGCAACCAGCGCATCGCCGCTGTCAGCACCTGCTCCTCACGCTCCACGCGCAGCTCCTCGCTGCCCAGGGCATTCAGCACCAGGGCTGGGGGGAGCGACAAGAACTCCGCCTCCTGTTGGCAGCAGCAGAGACACTCATTACTCTTGACGTATGAACGAACTCTTTTCGCACCGTATGTAGCCAACCGTGCTAATTGGAGGTGTGACAATGACTGATTGAGTGGCGACAATAACTCATCGCTACATGTCCATTATGAACCCTGTGAGCAACCGGACAGCAGGCCCAGGAACCTGACCTCAGACACAGGAACGAAGTTGTCATAGAAGAACTGGCAGGCATGGGCCTCCAGGTCGGGACAGGAGATGGCGGTGGCGAACATCATCACCCCCAGGCAGTTCTCAGCCGATATGTGCTCCCGCAGGAAGTCACTGCAGATCCTAACGACGCCAGCCAGGCTAAGCATGTCGGCAGCTATGGCGACGTCCTGGACGTTTGATTCGGACAACTTGAGAGAGCCTGGGGGATGGATAGGGACAGAGACAGGTTGTTTCAAAAAGATGGAGAGACAGAACGAAATACAGACACATTCATTGATATACAAAACTAGACAGATATAAACAATAGAAAAAAGTATAGACACAACCAAACACAAGGAAACATCCATGGGTATGTGTTGCTATGACTCATAACGAATTCGTAATGAATTGCAATCATAGTATAATTGTAATTTCAGCAAAGCTGCTGTCATTTTCATTATAATTTAGCCTACGGCTGATCGGCTGCCAGTTAAAATCACAGTCACGAGATGACTCACCCCATCACTATCAGGATTATCATTTCTCCGACTAAATGAGTAGCACTAAACATGTGGATTCCAACTCTAGCTCGAGGCTTGAATTCAAATCATCTCTCCCTGGGGTCGCACTCATCTCAATCGACAGCCTCATATCGGCAATATAAATTCCATACTCCCATGGCGGCGAACAATTTTTCCATGGAAAAACCACAGATGACTTCCCAAAAATTGTTGCCACTCATTTTATCAACCTTGAAGGGATGATGGTACTCGTGATGATGCTGCTACTAATGACGAAGCTAATGGTGATAAGGAAAATACTAATTTACATTTATTTGTAAGGCGCCTTGATGATGATCATGGAAGATGATGGTGTTACAAGATAGTGTTACAAGACTATGAAAAAGGGTAATTTTCCAAAATGTCGCCCACTATATATATTTTTTTATTTCAAGGTCACACTCTTATGAACGAATGTGTTCATTGTTTTTGTAAATTGTGCTTATGCACCACTGCAAACACTGTATCATAAAATAATTTGTTTAGTTTACAAGGCAATAACGTTATTTCAAGCTTCACCCTTGTTAGTGATCATCACCCACTCACCTGTGTACACGTAGTTCAGCAAAATCTCAAAGGTCTCCGCATCAATGCCTCCTATTTGAACCAAAGGCTCGGACTGGACCACCTTGCTTGCTTTGTCGGAGTCACCATCTACTTTTACGTGACTCCCACTGTCAACACCACCACCGTCGTCAACACCACCACCGTCGTCACCACCACCGTCGTCACCACCACCGTCGTCACCACCACCGTCGTCACCACCACCGTCGTCACAACCGCCGTCGACAGCGCCATCAGCCGCGACCCCACCAGTTGCTGTGACAACGGACAACGGTCCGGCGAACATAGCTTGAAAGTAGGGGCTCGCCGCCGCCAAAACAGCCGAATGGGCGCAAAACTGCGTTCCGCCCACAGAAAGGCGGGCGTCGCACAGCGTGGCGTCCTTGCGGAGGGCGTTGAGTGACCGCAGCAGGCGCACCGCGTGCGTCTCGTCCTGATAGCAGCGCTGATCGGTGGTGGCCCCTCCTGGGTGAAGGGTTGAGGAAGGAGCCGCTTCCGAGTCCGGGGTAGAATCCGGCGTGGAACCGGGGACGACGTCCGGGTCGAAGGTCGAGCGCGAATAGTTGGGAGTAGCCATTTTTTGGGTGGCGGTTTTGTTGGGTTTTTTGTCGATTTAATTTTAGTTTTGAAGTAAATTTGTTGCATGTATTCTCATAATAGCATTTTTAATACAATAAAATTAATTTTATCAGGTTTTTCAACTTTATTTTTTTTCATAAAATGGTCTTCAGTACTTTGATCATGTTAAAATATGTTATTACTTCCGAGAAACCTGAAATACAAACACAAAAACACTTTTTTAACAGTTTATACCTCATGAATTTGTTTCTTGACTTAAAGCTTTCGCGACTGCAGGAATGTATATTCTTGGGTCTTTCGGTAAAGTCACGTAAATAGGTTCAAAGACGCGACTTGACCGAAAGACCCAAGAATATGAATGTTTCTCTCGAGGAATACATAATAGTTATGTCAAACATTGACCCTGCAATCTCTTAGATACTAAGTTTAGGTTCTGGAGTTGGGTGTCTGTCTGAATGTATTACAATGGCCGTTAGGTCCATAATGGCCATGTCAGGCTTAAGAATGGCATACTATTGGCAAACAACTGAGAGCCTGGGTAAAATCTGTGGGTCTGGGTGTCTCAAAGATTTATAATGGTCAATTTGGGGACACAATTACCCCTTGTCGAATGGCACATTCGGGCCAAATCAGCACAAAACCCCCACAGTATGGGTGGGTTTCCACTGGCTATTTGGTGTGCCGAGCTGGAACCAAAACGTGATATAATGGCCTCACGAGGCATCTGAACCTGGCCAAGGGGCAACAGAGCGGGTGGAGCCAATGCATTGTGTATAATGTAGCCATCAACACGCGCCCCTTCGACTCCTCCGTTGCATGTGATGGCGCCACCAGCAGGGCTCAGCTCCTGCAGTGGAAAACAACCTGGCGGCGCCGCCCCGGGCTGGCTCGACGTGGCCCCGGCACGGCTCGATTGTGCAGTGGGAAAAAGAGGCGCAGTACAAGCCAACAGTCACAGGTCTTGGGTTAAAGCCACCGGGGTTTGTGTCTCTGTCTCACGATGGTTGGATAGCCTTGCGCCAACAATCACCGATGTCCTGGGTTTAAGCCCCTGGAACTAGGTGTCTTTCTCAATGCGTTGATAATGGCCATGTAAGTATTACAATCACACTGAGCCAGCAACCTCTGGGGGTGGGCGGTGGGGATTTGGGGGTGGTGGGGGGCTGATGGGGGTGGTGGGGGGTGGGGGCTGGTGGGGGGGGGGAGCCGGTGAGGAGCCGGTGGGGGAGGGGGTCGGTGGGGAGCCGGTGAGGGGGTGGTGGGGGGCTCGTGGAGGGGGGGGGGGGTGGGGGGCTCGTGGAGGGGGGGGGGGTGGGGGGCCCGTGGAGGGGGGGGGGTGGGGGGCCGTGGAGGGTGGGCCGTGGGGGGGGGGTGGGGGGCCGTGGGGGGGGGGGGTGGGGGCCGTGGGGGGGGGGGCCGTGGAAGGGGGGTGGGGCCGTGGGGGCGGGCCCGTAGGGGGGGGAGATCTTTGTCTTAACGCCGTCAAGACCGTCACAGCGCAGTTAACCAGCACGTCCCTTCATGTACACGACCCCCCCACCCACCCACCCCAACACACTGAGCTCAGCGCGTTCAGAAGTTGCCGTGACAGAGAGTTGCGGAGACAACCAACGAGCAGGCCGAGGGAGTGGAGGGAGTGCACGGGCCCGCGCTGGGGACCCAACCCGGACCTCGCCAGCGCCCTTCCGCAGGATTAAACAGCCAGGCTGGAAGTAGTTGACCGCCGTGTAACAAGCACCGCAATACATTGTGGGGGGTTTTGTTTGTTGTTACGTTGAAAGCAATGGCAACGTCATACGCCGGCTCGGCCCCAAGCGGCGGGTGTGGGGCTGAGGGGGACCTGTCAACCATTTTTCTCGCAGGGAGATTAATGCAAGCGGGGAGGCTTCGTCAAGGCCTACTCAATGCCCGACTCGCTGTAAATAATCTCTGTAACTAACTTCACTCGCAGTGCAATTAAAGTTTTTTTCAATGCTTTCCCATCGTTATCAGAACTTAACAGGTGGCTATGCAAAAAAAATGATGTAATCGCCAATGTACAATATCCCCGCCCTTACCTTGATCGATGTTGTTTCTCGGCATCACAGGCGGGCCGCTCTGATGGTGGACGGGGGGTGGGGAGCTGCTCTCTCGCCAGGGGCGCCCCCAGCGGCAGCAGCAGCGCGCTGCAGCTGGGGGCGCCCCCAGCGGCAGCAGCAGCGCGCTGCAGCTGGACTCCCATTGAATATCGCCTGACGAAGCTGGTTGCGATCGCACGCGAAACGTCGTACTCGAATTGTAAATGTGTGCGGGGTTAACTCTGCAACCCACCGGTTGTGTTAATTATATTAGCCATATTCTTAGGTTTTTTTTGGTAAAGTCACGTAGGTAAAACATTAAAATTAATAAAAGTAAAATAAAATAAAAATCACGTTTCGGAGGCAACACAAGCTTCCGAAACGTCGTGATTTTTATTTTATTTTACTTTTATTAATTTTAATGTTTTACCTACGTGACTTTACCGAAAATACCTAAGAATATGAATCCTTGCAGTCACGAAAGCTTCAAATCTAGAATATATTAGCCATCACCACCGCCTTTCATAATACAGGTGTTTTTGGGGTTAGATCGTGTAAATATATCAATGTATAATCTGAGTATGATGTTTCACCTGTAATTACAACTAGCCGTTGTGGCTTGGCTCTCCAACACACCGGTGTGCTGTACTAGTGATAAATTGGCATGTTCTGTTCACGCGACAAACCTTACCGATTGGCTGTGTCAGTGGTGGCGGGTTTAAAGACACGTTTATATTTAGGTGATCTAACCAAAATTTGTTTTATGGATATTGGTCGCGAAAGCCTACGTGTTAAACTGACTCCAGTTTCTTGTGCAAAATAGGCAATTAATTTTGAAAGACTTGAAAATTAACAATATATGTTTCACTATAGTATTACGTATGACAGCAATGTGATCAGCAGATGAATTTTCAATGTCGAGGTCTGCTAGCCTCGACGAGAGGGCTTCAGGCACAAGTTAAAATAGTTTTGATATTCCTTCTCTGAAGGAGCACATACTTCAGTGGTTAACTGCTGTATATATCCATAGTTTGGGTTGCATGACCACAGTCGCACTACTGTGGCTTGTCTTTATTTTTCCACTTATGAAGGATATTTTTACACGGCCTGTTTAGTGTTCTGATGCGCTTGATGGTTCCACCGGTGTCAAGGAATGTCAAATCCAGGAGGTGCGATGGAAATTAGGTATGAAACGATGCGTGGATTCGTCACACAAAAAAATCTATGACACACAAGGTACACGAATGAGAGGGTGATAATTTATTTAAATGTATGCACATTACGTGGTAAATGTTAATTTTACTTTTAGGTTAATGGGGCCACAAAACTCTACAAATGGCACAGAAAAAAAAAACATGGATGGGCTCATACGGTAACAAATTATTCTTGAATGAAATGGAATCACGACCGCAAATTATGACAAGAGCATCGCTGGGGAGGAGTGAATCATTGCATGCGCAGCAGTGATGCGCATACAGTTCCCTTCGTCTTAATGGGCTTAAAGAAGCACAGCAGGTTTTGAATGGGCCATACAAGTCAGAGCATCAGTACCATAATTTCCCCGTATAAAGTGTGTGAACCTGCAGGCTAGCAATTGAAATGTGCACGTTCTTGGGTAAGATTGTAGACCGAACTGCGTGCACAACTGTCTCCTTCACATATCTGTATCTCCACATCAAAGTACTTTTTATACAACTCATCAGCCGCGCGGCCTTCTGCAGCTAATGGGTTCTGTAACAAATACTTTTATATATAAGATTGGAGACGGATATGTGAAGGAGACAGACTCCTTATTTATTTTCTATGCAATAACGCTTATGATTATTTTGACTTCTCTGTTCATAACTGTCTGCCCTGATTCCTCTCTCCCATCCCCACAATGGGTGCTGTGTCTATTTAAGCCTATTGCGATGGTGGAACATTTTCATCCTGATGATGCCTATAGACTGCTTGCTGTAGTTGAAGCATATTACTTGTCAAACTAAAAGTTGATGTGCCCGAACTTATCTTGGATATTTATATTCATTATGTCTATTCACAACACGTATTACAATTGATTTAACTTTCCAACACATTCAAAACTGATTTTGTCTATATCAGCGGTTCTCTACCCTTTCAAGTGTGAGGACCCCTTTTCAACCTCCAAACATTTTGTAGGCCACCACATGCTACTGCAGTAGTTATTTGAAATTGTGCATTGCCTTGGTGAGGATGTGATTATATTATTTGTGTTTTCCAAGGACCCCCTGTAGTAGCCTCGTGGACCACCAGGGATCCGCGTAACACAGATTTGGAACCGCTGGTCTATATAGTAATGGAGGCACTCTGGAAGGATGGGGTTGAAAGAGATTCATGGTCTGAAGAGATGTTTATTTCGGACATACAGGAGATAATAAGTGTCAGTAGAATAACCTTGGTGGAAACCAGATTTGACTGGCCCATGGAAACCATGGAGAGACAGGAATTTGCAGACTTGGGAAAAGATAACCCTTTATCGGAATTTTACATGGGAAGTTTGAGACGGGATATAACTTCGCAGGCATGTTGCGGTTCATTGTGGGTTAATTCATGATGGTAGTAAGAGCAGCAGTATTGGAGGCATTAATGATGCTGGTAATATGGACAACGTGGATAGGCAGTAACACGTTTCGAGGGCAGAGGATGGAAGACGTTTTTAGGTTCGAGATGATTGTATTCATGCTATTTAGGTTGACAGGCTGCAGGTTGTGAAGCGTAGGTGGTGCAGAGACAGAAGAACGGGCAATAGGAGGTCCAGTCAGATACCAGAATGCCATTCCTCATTTACTCAACCTACAAAGAGCAATAGGAGGCAAGTTGGAAATTGACAAAGTAATAATGGTACATTATTTGAATGGGAGAAGTAAAAGCATAATTATTCCAGGAGTCTGGGACTCAAAGCTCGAGTCCATTTCACGAGTTCCTCCGCTTCTGCCTCCCAGTTCACATGGTCGGGTTCGATCTGAGGCTGTGGCGTAGGCCGAACCCTTGGGGCTTGCCTAGTCACCCTGATCAGCCTAGGGCTCTGGTCCTGGGTAGAGGTGGAAGCTTGGGTGCCTGAATCATCGTTTGGGTAGAAAAAAGACGCACAGAAAAAACAAGAATTAAAAATAACAATTAAAATAATTGTCCTTTTAACTGGTGACAGCTAACTCAGATTAATTATTTTTGTCATTACATACTATGTCCTTTAACCTGGTGCAAGGCTAAGGAGTTATTATCCCTTGAGTCTAACGTTCTTTAACCAGGTGAGTGCCCGTTGAGATTAATTATCTATTGTGAATGTGGCCTTTTATTTATAAAGGCTCTTCAAGACCATTATCCCTTGCGATTGATGTCCTTTATTGACTAGTAGAGAGCTACAGAAATTAATTACCTAATGCCAGTGACATCCTTTATGAAAATGAGGGTCGTTTGAGAAGTATTATTTGAGTGATGACCGTCCTTTAACCAGGTGAGGTCCACTGGGATTCAGTCACACTTTATACAAAACACATTTGTCCTTAAATTGTAAATACTTATTACCTTTATATATAATTCTGGAGAGCCTCACCCAGTCTTGAAAATATTTTTAGGAGAGTCGTTGCATATGATTGGCAAATTCTTTATTGATGGGATACAGCTTTAAAACACATGAGCTATAAATATACAGTAAGTCAGTGACAACCTACTTGCTGTCCTGACAGGTAAGACTCACCGGGGTTTTGAGTGGTGGCGGTTTGGGACCAGTGGCTGAGATAATCGCTGAAGGGAATAACTTTAACCCTAAAAACACACGCAAATATACACACTGTTTCACTATACCCAAAGAGCAACATGTCACCTATTGGGGCAAATGATGTTGTTCATCATCAACAGCCACGATCAATCCACGGCTGGATGAAGGCATCAGAAAGCCACCGCCAACCCATCTAGCACCTGCCCAGCAGCTGATTGTCTGGGAGATGCTCTCATTTGGCTGCCACTCCACATTAGTCTCGACGACCCGTCATCATGTCTTCTGGGGACATGTCCTGCCCAAGCCCACTGTCTTAACAGTCAATATACGAGGGGGTGGTGTGGCCAGGACTAAGCTCGGTTGTTGATTTCCTCACTTATTGTACGGTACTCGTTTAAAGCTGAGTCAACTTAGGGGAGGCCCAGGAGATGGGTTCAGGTTCATACTGCAGTGTGTGAACCACTGCACCACAGACACAAAGATAAATATCTCTCTTATAGCCTTAACAGACTTGGGGCCAGTGATGTTTGCGAGCCCCTACGGAAGCTAGCACGGCACGCGTGGTGGCGAATGGCCATCTGCATGTTCAACCGCCTTAAATAAAGACACATGTCCATTGTGTATATTTATAAAGATACATTGCGGTTATCATACTGGTGCTGCTGTTGATGATGGTAATGATAACACTGATAATGACAATACTGCTGCTGCTGAATATGCCGCTGATGACAATATATGGTTGATGCTAATTCTGATCCTGCCACTGCTGTGACTGATGTTGCTTCGGATATTGATGACAATGAAGCCGTTAACGCTGTTGTTGATGATAATTCTGCTGCTGATAAGGGTGCTGATGATGTTGCTGTTCATGATTATACTTATGCTGATGTCAATGACGATGATGATACCTCGAGCAGCTGTTCTTCACAACCGTGTCTTCTCTTTGCTTGATGTCACCCTTGACGCGTGGCTCCATTCACGTTCATCCCCGATCAATATCTCCGCTCCGGTCCCTGAGGGCAATCAACGCAACACACCATCAATAATTGTCCCCTCTTAACGAGACCCGACGTCGTCACCTTCACCAGGAGCTACACACTGTTGTATCCTAACCCTTCTTCCATAATTGAGATTAATAATATTTGATGATTTTTATATATTATCTTTTTACTTGTTTTTTTTAATGATTGAAACACACCAAGCGCAGCAAACTGCAAAACACCAGGTGTTGTTAAGTAATGAACTGGAGGAGGGCTAGGATGGCAGAATTTGCAACCTTGCTTCAAGGAAAGATAAGGCCTGATGAACGGGCACATGTCACCCGTGCAGGCGGCAGAGACAGTGGGAGTGTCAGCCAGACATAGTTAAGGCAAAAAGCCCAACCATCCTGCATGGTTTTAAAGTAACGTCAAAATTCGAAATTCAACAACAGAGTAGGCTAAATTACCGATCCTCGCGCTCGCTCAAATTGGAGACCAGGCTGCGAGCTACATAAATGAACCATTGCCCATTTGCTAATCCAATACTGAATGTTAATATTACTGAAGTCAAAACGAATTCTATGACCTCAGCACATGGGCAAATAATAGGGCAGTGTCGACTCAAAGGCAATGGAAGAAACAGAGGCGCCTTTGTCTAAATCACAACCACAGAAAGCCAGGAATCATCACTGATTGTGTGTTCAGGGATTCCGAGCTAGTTAGAACACGTGCACAGGGGGGGAGCTGATGTAAACAACCCTGCACGTCTGAACGTGAGGGGGCCTTTGACCTGAAAGTAAGAATAACACTCCCAGAGCAGAAGGTTGGATGACCACAGTGAGACGAGAATAAGAGTGGTGTATATCTCTCAAGGAGGCAGACCCAGCTGAACAACAAGGCTGCGGGGTCACCAGAAGTTCGCATTCGCCTAGTTAAGACAAAAAGCTCAATTATTCTGTATTGCTATTAAAGTAACGTTAAAGTCGGAATTTAACAACAGGGTAGGCTAAAGTTATCGATACTCACACCCACTCCAATTAAACCAGGCCACAAGTTACGCCTACTGAACCATCACCATTATTAAGTCAATATGAAATGTTATTTCCATACTTCAATACTTTCTATACAATTCGACCCGAAGCATATGACAATCAGAACCTTCCTAAGTCAAAATTGAATCGCACCCAGACAGGAGCGAATAGTCAATATAAGGTTGAAGAGGGAAGGAAATCAAGAGCACGGCGAACTGCAAACGTAAGCAAAAGCCGGGAACAACACCAGCCCAGCAACAGCGAGTGGGGCTTCGACAGGCCATAAAGTAGAATAATAACTCCCGGGGTCAGGGGACACAAGAAGAAGCAGGCAGACAAAAACCAGAACTGACTCCAAGGTTCAACCGCCCTCACCTACTCAGGAGGGACGGAAATTAATGAGGCCTTGAATTAACGGCAGGCAACAACAACGGCGAGCAGAGATAGGGTGGGGCAAAGACTGCGGGCTATGGAATGCAACTTCGTGTCAGTAAAGCCCTGACAAACAAGTTAAGTTAAAGACATCACAATACATAATATCGCACATAACATCAATGTTAACGCTATTCACCGTAAACTATATTCCGCTTATATAACCATCCAGGCACCAAGGAATACGAATTCCTAGGATCAAGAAACTTACCCCTTAACCTAAGATATCGGAAATAAATTAATAGTAATAAGTATATGCATGAAATGACAAAGTAAAACTTATGGAAAAGCCAGGATAACGGGATGAATCACAACCAGGTCGAATATAATACATAATAAAAAAAACAACGATGTTAAACCCAGGGTCGGAGAGAAAGGGAGATCCCGGCCGTCTTTGTATCCCCGCAGCGCGGGATAGGAGTGTGTGTACGCTCGGGGAAACACCTACACTTGGGTCGGGCACCACGATGGGAAACGACAGACCTTAGGTTACATACAGAATCATAACTGTGAAATAGTAAGGGACAAATGTTAACTTAAAACTTTTTAACCATTTCTTTGTGCGCCGGGTCGGAGAGAGTGTTGCCCCTCCCTCCAGGTTGTGCAACACGAACAAAGACGCCTATGAGACGATTTGTAACGTCTGTGTTTTGGGTCATGAAGACGGCCAGACAAGAGATAATATTGCACCCAGACAGAGAGACGACTTCGAGGCAATTTGTAACATCTGATTGTTTGCTCGTGGGTTTTATGGAGGGAGTGTGACAACGAATATACCGTCAGTGATGCACACAAGGACACACGGACATACGGACAGACACATGGACACACCTGCCTACGGACAGATCCTGACACAGCAAAAATCGGAAGAAGCCCCGCCTTGTGGGCGGGATCCAGGGGGAATTTTCGGCATAAAGTAAAGGATCCTGAGCATTGGAAACCAGTGCGACGGGAGGGTCCACTCAGAAGCTCGACCGGGAGGGTCGACTCAGGAACGAGTGTGACGAGAGGGTCCACTCAGGAGCGCGACCGGGGGAGTCGGCTCAGGAGGAGTGCGACCAGTGGGTCCACTCAGGAGTGCGACCAGAGAGTCGACTCAGGAGCGAGGGCGACCAGCGGGTCGACCCAGGAGCGAGCTCGACCGGGAGGGTCGACTCAGGAGCGAGCTGCGACCAGCGGGTCGGCTCGACTCATCTTCAGCTCGTCAACCTCTGCTGCCGCCGGAGATCTCTGCTGCCGCCGGAGTGGTGATCGTTGCGGTTTGGCGACGATCCAGCGCTGCACGCTACGAGCGAGTTGTGGGCGCCACCTACCGACCGGGTTCCGAACTGCGACAGCGTATCAACTGCCATCCGAACCAATTCGCCACGGGATCGACTGATACGTATGACGCGCACCGCCCCCTCACCACACGACCACCAGGCGTCTGTTTGACCTAAAGAATCGACTCCGAACACTGACTATTCAAGACAACTCTTACCACTCAAAAACACTCGAACCCATAAGCCATCCGTGGCTGGAAAGCATCACAACGAGACCGAGTGATGGCCCTCCGTCGTTTATAAGAGTATTCTTAATTTTTATCTTTAATATTTAGTGGGCTGTACTCTTAATCGCATAAATTCCCAACAGATCCATCAATACGAACTGATTCTTGGCACCTCCTTCCGCCGAGCCACGCTCACGTGGGGAGTGGTGGCCCACCGGACCCTTATCAGGTGATCTGGTCCCCAATTAGTAAACTTGGTATAAGATAACGAGCTTCGGAAAAGGAGCACCGTCGCAGGCCCTTACTCCGAGCCGTTCTGTTGTCAGATAACCTGCCGATGTATCTGTTGAGATTGGTGCCTTTAAGAATAATAACTGTTTTGATTGTATTTTTTTTTTATCGCCGTATAATCTTTCAAGTATCTTTCAGTCATAATCGCCGCACGTACTCGCATCCTCTACAGAATATTCAACTGTTCCGTGACCCAAGGTGTTAACAACGTGATAAGGGTTGCGTATGATCAATAAGGAGTGCGGTACTGCGTGAACAATATTGAGTATAATCATTCATTAACGTTAAGGTTTTCTTAGCATAATATTTGCATGTTTTAACGACTCTCTCTCTCACTAAGAACCATCGCGTTATGCGGGATCCATGTGCCGTTGTCAAAGTGAAATCAGACAATCGTTGATGATACTGTATTGATGCCGTATTGACGTTCCGGGATTGAGAGTTCGCATACTATATCATAGTTAAGGTTGAATTAGTAATAAATTGATCAATACAGAAGTGGTTGTGTGATTCTTTCCTGAAATCTATGCATAAGATCTGCTTCTGCGTTGAGATTTGAACTTGGTGACCTTAATAAACACACTAATACATACTCAGTAAATGTTAAAGCGATAACGGGGTGAACCGGGGTCTGGTTATCATAACGACTTGCGCTATCATAATTACACCCACTCGCATAATTAATACGATTACCTCTCGAATTGGCATAATTAAAATGTGCGTAATTACATAAATTAACATATTTCCGGATAATTACACATTTGGCCAAATTTCATTTAATTATTATTATTTCCACTGAATATTCATAACCCACATATACAACATAATAATTTCACCCACGCACGCATACAGCATAACAAATTTTCATACCCAACATATACAACATAATGGGGGCTCGTCTTCCGGGATCTCTCGCAGACAGTTTGTGCATGAATTCAGGAACGAATCACTGATGTGTTAATCAAAGTGTTGTGAACTAACGTTGCCTTGTGATTGTAAACGGGGGTATACAAACAAAACGCGCTCTGAAGGGAAATACCAGAGTAGCAGAGTATAACAAAGACAGCTGGGCTGAGATTATTTGCTCGAGTTGAACTGACGCATCCTGTGATACAATTGTTTATATGCACTCTGAAAAGAAATATTAAGGTAACTCTTGCCATACTTAAGATGCTAGGATTAAGAATAATATTTGAATGGGTTACGGGATACGGGGAGCTCGTATTTAAACGTACCGACCAATCTGTTACAAAGCAGTACAGTCAGAGAGACATATGGGAAGGGAGCTGTATCGATAACACGAACACACCTTGGGGGAAACTAATTGACTGGATAAAAAGTAACGAAGGCAAACACGATGCAAAAACTGCAGAGAAGGCAGGACAGGACTCATACCTTCTCACACAGGCATACAGACAGGGATTGTGGAATGAAGGAAAATTTGGAAAGGAAACGGGAGAGAAATCGTCTCTAATAAACGACGAGAAATGTCCTCACACCCTCGAGAGGGAGGAGAAATCAAAGCTCGCGACACCAGCGAAACTCACAGACGTTGAGCCACAGAATAAATATGGAAGTAACATCAAATCACTCTCTTGGGTACGTGGACAGAGTCCAGGGATTGATTGCACAAAAGTTAAAGTAAAATCGCCAGGACATGGTACACTAAGGGCAGAGGCAAAAACTGAAGGGAAATGGCAACACGAGCGACACGGCCCTGGGCGCGCACACAGAAAATGCACACCACTTAAACACAGGGACACAGCACAGACCAAAGTGACAGATTGCCT